TGCACCAAACTCTCTAGGGTTAAGAGTTTCCTTTATCAAGATAAAGGTAAGGGTGTCAGGATCCAATTGCAGAATAAAGAGAGGCCGGTATAAAAGGTATAAACTAAAAGTGAGCTTTATTAAATTAAAGCTGTTAGAAATAAACACAAAAAAAGCAGGAGCTGGCAAGGTCAACAAAAACTAATAAGAAACCAGGAAGATTTGGAGGACACAAGAGGGCAAACGAGGTAAATCCAGAATAATACAGTGAAAAACCAGGAGCCAAGCGGGGGAAACAATGGCGACGAACTGACAGAGAACACTAGGGAAGACAGGCCTAAATACATACAAGACTAATCACAGAGACACAGCTGGGGAGGGGGGTCAAACACAGGGGCAGCAGGTGAACACAATCAGACAATCAGGCACAGGAGGGAAAACACAGGAAGTAAAACATGACAAGACACCAGTCATTTCAAAATAAAAACAGGAACATGAAACACAAAAAAAACATAATCACGCAAAGGGACTCCGTATGCTTCATACAAAGTGCTTGCCGGTTTTGACAGCTTGTTTCATTTTTTGCCTCGGCCCCGTCTGCAAATCTCTGTAAGTGCTCCTCTGTTTTCTCTTTTTCTCTGCTCTCCTCTCTCCTGAGATTAGGTCCACTCATGCTTCCAGTCAAGGACAGCTGTTACAAACCGTTTATGATGTTGGTGATTAAAAAACCACATCAAAACTCCGGTGCTGGTCACGGCACGGCCCAGTGAAGGAGAGCGTCCCACATCTGCGCTGGGTATTTTTCTGTTTTACAGATACAGCCAGATCCTCCACTTTCTCCGCGGGCAAAAAAACATAAAAGCAACATGCAAAGCTAATGCTACCAGCATTTGGGCCCTGATTATGGGACACCCTTTGGAACCTCTTTCTACCTTAGACGTAGGAATTGGGCGTTCTGAGTGGGAGAACTTTTCTAACTTTATAATACATGGAACTCAACACAAATGCCTTATTGGTGCTACAGTTTCTAATTACCGAATTTGCCAGGTGCAACGGTTGGTAGAGAATACGTGTGTACCTTTGTTCCCATTTGTGTGAAAAAGTGTGTGAAGAAAAAAAGACAATCAAAAGACAGTGAGTTCTTACCTGCAGCAAAGTGACGCAGACAGGAGGAGGCTGTGACGATAGTCTTATTATCCAACTTTCAAGTCGGGCCAGTTGGAACATAATCAAGAATTGTTTTGCAAATGTTCTATAAAGCTTACTGAACCCTTCCAAATCTAGAGTCTAGATATAGTTACTTGTCTAAGATTTGAATAATGATCAAGAATTCATCTCGCAGTACCATGTGGTTACGATTAGGATGATAAGAACTATAAACTACCTGTATTTGTTTACCTCTGGCATGCACAATGAGGGAATGCCAGAGATTTACTGTAATCTGCTTCATTGTAATCTAACATCTAACATCAACATTAGACTAACCCTAACTGTTAACCCTCAGGGCACAGACTCTGATTAAGAGTGATATAATCCATTCATCCAGCCATTAGCTGAACAGGTTTATCCTTCACAGGAGGGCTGGAGCCAATCTGGACAGTTGCCAGTCAATCACAGGATTGACACAGTGACAGACAACCATACACATTCACATTGACACCTTTTCATTTTGAGTCACCAATTAACCACTTGGGCCTAGGCTCCACGGGAACGAAAACGGGTTGAATCCGCATATTTCTCATGCGTATAGCCCTTTAAGCTAGACGACGCCGTAACGGAAACGTAGAAACAGACGCTGCAAACGACAACGGGTCCAAAGGTGGATAGATCTGGGAATGGAGCGCTCTGGGGGGTCCAACGGGGGGTAGCCTATACGGTCATCCGTTTCTGATAATGACGACGCAATAGCCCCGCCTCTCCCCGCCTCTGCTGCTCACCCCCGCAAAAGTACACTGCACACTGAATTCAGATTATTTATCTTTATCTCGATATGGACATAAACGCGAGTGAAGTCTAATCTGACAGGACGGAGACACGCAGCTCCTGCCGCTGTGATGCAGCGGGAGCAAAACACACACTTCAAGTCAGATCATCACCCTTAGCTATTTTAATTACCTCTCAAACTACCTAAACTAGTTATAAATATGTTCATTTTTACTGTCGGGTCACTCATTACAGGATCAGCTGCTGCATGAGACAGACACTGACGCTGTCAGAAGAGAGAAAAAAGAGACAGGCTCCGTGTATTTTATGATTATATATCATTATATCGTCGTTATTCATTTGTTTTAAAGCTCAATAAATAACAATGAAGACCTTTGACCGGCACTTTTATAATTTTGTCCGGAAGATTTAAACTTTAACACACGTTGACCGGCGAAAAACTCTGCCCGGTTCCGTCGGCCCCCACCAAGGAGAATAAACAGAAGTGCAGCCATGACAACCATTCTTCTTCGCTGCTTTTGTGGAGGAAGTTGCTGCTTTTGTGGAGGAAGATACAGCGCCACGTACAGGCTCGGCATATGTACTGCAGCTTTTCCAGCGGTTGGATGTAAACGGAGCCGTCTCGTGGAGCTTGACACAATCCGGTGTATATTGCGTGGGCGGAAGCTTTTTTGCGTTTGCGTTTGCGTTACTCCGATGCGTTTTGCCGTATGCGTTCCCGTGGAGCCGGGGCCCTAAACTAGTTATAAATATGTTTATTTTTACTGTCGGGTTTACTTACTGGATCAGCTGCTGCATGAGGAAGCATGAAGATTTAAACTTTAACACACATTGACCGGCGAAAAACTCTGCGCGGTTCCCTCCGCCCCCACCCCGGAGAATAAACAGAAGTGCAGCCATGACAACCATTCTTCTTCGCTGCTTTTGTGGAGGAAGTTGCTGCTTTTGTGGAGGAAGTTACAGAAGGAAATATGAGAGAATATGTAGCAAAGAACATGTAGCAAACAAGTACGTGCAAACTCTTAACAGAAAGGCCTGAGGTAAAAGTTCAATAAATGCTAAACATATCAATATCAACTCTCCTGATATAGATCCCATTGTGCTTTGCGAGTATCACAACATATCTGTTACAGCAGTTCTGATTGGGCCAGGGCCAAACACGCCTTTATGAGGTGTTAGAAAATGTAAATGAAGGGTTACGAACTTCATTTGTGGTTAGAGTTGCTCCCCCGTGAGAACATGTCAGAGTAACAACTTTAATATAAACTGCCGAAAGACAGCAGATGTGGAGACAGGACTGGTGGTCCAGTCCTGTCTTTTTTGAGGTTCTGAATACTGTTGTTTTGTTCAACCACAACCGTCACAGTTGTTCTTTCATTCCAACAAACATGTGCCTACTGGATAATTCGCCTACATCTGTGCTTTGCAAAACTTTCTCAGTGGTGGTTAGCTGGGTTTTTTTCTGCAGGCATTAACCCATTTTTGTGCGCGGTCACTTCTCAGTAATCCAAAACCAGCCTTACTGTATGATCGCTTTCACGTAAAAGGAAGGGAGAATGCAGAAATCATATCTTCTTAATCTCGCACTGTAAGGAATGCAAGCGTTAGCATTATCGGAGAAGAGAGGGGGGTTTTGAGTGCAGGACATGCATATAAATGAAGTGGTGAGCCACTCCTGGTCAGACACATTAGGTCCCAATTTCTAAAGCACTTAAAGGTTCACTGTGGTGCACAAATGACATCTGACACCGCCTCGATACTCCTCAGAAAGCCAGTCATGGAATAACAAACTTAATGAGGGAACTGTTAATACTACCAAATGCAATTACTTACATAATAAACTTTTCATATTTACTCTAGAGGCCGTTTACTTATAGGCCAGATATTAATCCGTGACAGAGGGACACAGGTCCACAGACTTAGGGATACGGATAAGGTTAGGGATAACACAACAGGGGTGACCTCCCAGTGTAAACTGGCTCGGTCATCTTGTTGCCAGACGCTAAATCCAGAACCCCTGGCAGGAAATCCAGCGTGTGCTGTTGACATCGCAACTCATCCGTGACTGACAAGGAATAACACTTTTGGAGAGGTTGGTCAATAAATCACCCAAGGAAAGAGAATACATTAAAAAATTAGATTATATATATATATAGTGAAAAATATGTTGTGGAAAAAATTACTGAGAGGTACTTTTCATAACTATTTCAACAATTGAGAGGTCAATTTTTTTACATTGCAATGTTATGGATTTGTATTCAGTTTCTTGAATTTCACAGTCCATCACATCATTCTTAATTGAAATGGCAGTTTCACAAAGTTTTAATTGACAGTGTTGTTATCAATTTCTGTCACAGGGTTTGTAAAATATTCCATTTCATATTATTGGTCTCTGTATAGTCATTCGCCATCTTTACTTTCAACAATAAAGGCCATTTTTATTAAAAATACTGAAGACATTGTAATTGGTCACATTAAGAAGGTCCCCAAGCACCTTAAGGATTTTAGTTTTTCTTCATGGCTAGCAGTATACCATACATGACTAGGGTATGTTTTTAACGTCCATAATAAAGAGTAAAATGAGCCTGTATTTTGTCTTTGGGGGGCAGTGAGGAATAGTGGCTGTAGGAATCTGGGCTTGAGCACAGCTGGTTTCAGGTTCAAGTGTAAAGCGGACTGCGCTAACGAGAAAGTCACTTACCATTTGATCAACATGCAACAGGGAAAACAGGAATTACTGCAAATGTATGACCAGAGAACATTACGGGTTGTTGTTAATGGACGTGTCCTTGAGCCAAATTCAATGTTGAAGAGAGATGTGGCTGGACCTACGCCTCCATCCTTTCTGTTCCTGGACATTGTTGATTTTGGCAGGACGTCGGGTTCTGATGTTGGCTAGACACAGGCAGAGCAGACTCAGGGTGCTTCCTTTCTCATTTTCACACACATTTGGATGGGAAATGTGTGTTGGCAATGGGACAGAAGTTAGTAACAGTAATCCGATCCGCCGTTGAGAAAAAATAAGATATTTTGCAAGAAAGGGACATGGGCCAGAACTCCACACGCAATGCAACAGATAGTAATCATAAACTTTTATTCTGAATATACCTTATTTGCACATGAATAAACACTTTTCTTTACTTCCAAGGATTAAAAACATTGTTATTTTTTAGTTTGTTGAGAACAACATCGGTTTTTGTACACATTTTTACATGACTGATTTTGGAGAATCAAGCTCCACTAAAGTGTAACATGTTAAAGCACAATCGAAGGAGACCCACTAAGCCAACTTGTGGACGCCCCCATCAAGAGCCTGCCTTAAAACCAAAGGCAGAGAAAGATTGACTGACAGGCACGCCAATCGTCCGCCAAAGAGTGGCAGCAAGGTAACAAGACACAAAAAACACACACTATGCAATCTTCAAGACTCCAGAAATAAAAAGTCTAACTCACACGATCCATACAGAGAGCACCAACAGTCAAAAACACTTAATATCACATCGAGAGTATATTATTCCTGAAGTGACAGCATCTGATTTTAGCACTTAAGAGTAGAATGGAACATCTGGATAACTATGGAGCTCATGTTCATTCTCCAATGTTTTCTGTGCATCTCTTAAAGCATCTGAGAATTTTAGGTGGCGTGTATTGTCACTCATTTCACATCCGTGCAATGTACGTCTCTTTCCAAGGTGTCTTAAGGACCATGTTCTAGCAAGTTAAACTTCTGATATGCAAATCATGTATATTTATCACATATTCGTAGTTGGTGTCAACATGAAGGTGGAGTTCGGAGATTAGCAGAAACCACTGGAAGTAGAAAGTAGGGAAAAGATCATTGACCCCCCCAGCTTTTCTACTGTTGCTTGATTTGGCGTTGCGTATAGTGCTATTCCATAGCAAGACGTTCTTTGATTTACATTAAACTTTTCTGCTGGCCATCTCGATTCTCCCCATATTTTCTTCCTTTTCAGGCAGCCATTGTTTTCCATCAATTTTTAATTAGTAGACTTTATTTTACGGTAAAATCTACAAGAGTGTGCTATATGATTTGCTTGCTGTATGGAAATGAATGGAAGCACAAGAGACCTATCAGGAAAATCACATCAACGTGACTAAAGTTCAGTTATTGGCCGAAGTAGTGGACCGAAGCCCCACCGCTAGTGTGACTGACAATCTGAAACACAACAACATGGTATGCCAAATACTCAGCAGTAGTAATAAATATCCATGATTTGGTCTATAAAAGAAATTGCGAAACCCCCAGTACAGTGTGGTCCTTAAATAAAAGCTATCATACATGGCTTGAACCAATCAGACATATTGAGTAGTGCATTCATACATCACTCTGGCCAATCAGATTCTCTTTTTTTCCCCAGCTGAGTCAGACCAGGACGGAGCCAAATGCTGTCCCCCCAAGAGCAAGGCAGTAATAGCTGATCATACCTCATCATATCATAAACAAATGCCTGACATTCATAATATAATGCATCCCAACATTACACATAGCACACCAGATAAATGTTTTTCTTTTGTGAATCAAGTCACTACCATGCAGCACAGGGTAAAAATGTGAGACTTACTTGATGCCTTGGTAAATTGCATAAATTCTATATTACGATTATAGGTTTCTCCACAAGGGAATAAGAGAGCCCCATATGGCACTTGATATTCTTAAGTGTTAGTAAATGAGGAGCATACCATTGCTTTTGTTGGAAGGTTATAGTTTATAAAAATGTCTGGTGGTAGTCAAGCTTTGCCATCAAATAAAATGGATTCCTTGATTGTACTTGGAGGAATACTTATAGGAAAAACTGACATTATTCAAAATGATGCAAGAGGGATTAATTTAATAAAACAGGGTGAGAGACGGTGTTAGTGGTCATGTCGTACACAACATTTAAGTTGTTGTCTTCAATTCCCCACACAATAAAGCAATTTCCTGCAAACATGTGCCAGTGTTTATAGATTACACAACTAAAAGATGCACTCCCTGGTTTTGTTTAAGTGGTGTATGTAGCCCCTCATAAATCCTAAAACATGTTCCTCTGCAAAGGATCTGAATCCGGAAAACAAAGTTGAATTTGGTTAACCGTGACTCAGAAGGACATTTTATGATCTTGGTGTGCCATAAGGCAGTAAATGGAATGTATCCTTAATGTATTTGATTTCACTGAAACAGTTATAACGTAATTTTTACTGTTGTAACATGTAATTGACAATTCTGAACTCGAAACAACAGAGACCTAAAAAACGATTAAATCGGGGGATTACTCAATTAAAATCCCATCTTTTAACCATGAGCGATTTGTAAGTACATAAAAACACAGCAAGAGATGTTCTACATATTGCAACTCCAGGATGGATTTAGTTTCATCCTGAACTCAGTTAAGTTGTTATATTTGTATTCCTGCTGAGACAATTAGTACTGCATTGACACTGGGCGACTAAGTGTCCATTTTTGATCCTGTGTGAGTTGGTATTATTTATTATTTTTGACAGATTGCTTTTACTCTGCAGCAGTCGTTTGGCTAACTTGCATTTTTTTAATACCCCTCCGACTGTATATCTCCTCTGGACAGAATAATAAATATCTACAGTAAATCATCTGAATATTTTCACGCTTAAAGGAACAATATATAACACTTTAAGCTGGCATTTAAAAACTGGGACAACAGACAAAATTCGAAATATTGGAAAGAGATTCTAAGCTGACCCGGGTTTACAAGATTGGGAACGCTATAAATGACAAGCTACACCAAATCCTCAGTTAATGGGATGGTTTATAGATATGCAATGTATTTGTTTGGAGATTATAAACCTGCTGATGTTGGTTAACTCTATCAATGTTATCTATGCATTGCTGGCTGTGTTTTAGTCCATTATAACAAATCAAGTGCCGGGTGAAGCCAGCAAATGAATAACCTCTTCTAAAATAGGTATTATGTTAAATTCAGTTATTTTCCTAGATAGCATAGATGGGCTTCAGTACTATTTTAAAACGTGTGTGTTTCAGTCTTACATTTCTGTCACTCTGGTTGTTTCAACAGCTGTGTGACTCATTCCAGACCCCTTTGTGTATGATTGATAGCATTTAGCATATGTTAGCATGACAGTGTTAGGTAGCACTACACTGGATTACTTCACTGGCTGTGTGTCAAATACTCGAGCACTCTTATATATAATAGTTTAACAAAAGTATTACACATGAAATCCCTCAAAATGCACATCCTTACTGTGATTAATAAGTTAGTTCAGCTATCCTGAGATCAATGCTTACCTTTACAGGAGCCAAATTGACAACTGTTTTAATACTCTTCTGGGCTCTGAGCTGTCCCAATCTTTCAAAGTTGTCTCCAATATTAACACGTGTTCAGCCACATCTCGGGTCATTGAGCTTTTAGCAAAGATGATTGGTAGAATCCAGCGTTATCTCTGTCGATCAAGTTTGTTTCCGTGGTTCCATGGCTGCAGCCTGCTGTGTTTGCTTGCAAATTTGTTTCTTATCAGGCCACATGAGGTTTTGAAATAGACACAGGCAAAAACAAAAACAATTTTTTTGGAAGAAGAGCCTGACATTGTTGTCTGAGGAAGCCGGGATTTTAAATTAGAATATATTTAACCTCAGTAAACATACATATTGTTCCTTTAAGTTCGGTATAATGGAAGAGAAGGCACACAACATGAAACATGATGAACTTCTATTGAAGAGAAAAGAAGAAAATGAAATACAGCAGGAGAGATGATGAAAAGCATGGATTGACTGCAGTGATGTCTACTTGGTGGTATCATACCACAGTAAAAAAAACAAGCAAGATGGAACCTCACTTCTTCACAGAGATAGAAGTGGTTTTTCAGTCTGGACCAAACCGTAAAGACTGTAAAATAAAAGCTGCACTTTGAATAGCAGTGCAGATAGTAGTCATTTAATTTAAAAAGTGACAGCAGTGAATACAAATTATTTTGTAAAATACAAATTCTCATATCCCCTTCACCCACTTTCTTTAGTGGTGGCAGTCAAGGAAACAGTAACATGCTGTCCAGACGCTTCAATCAAATAAATAATAAAACAAATAAATACGTAACCTCTTTCAATTCAGTAGCCACTGTCTACCTAGCTGGTCACACCGTCCACATGGTACTAGAGATGTTGTCAACTGAGCATGCATAGGACACCAGCCAGGCTCACCCTGATTGGTTAATGTGCACTATGGCAACCAAGTTTTCATTGGATCAATCCAACACCAAGGCGGAAATTCCACATAATTTACAACTCTTAATCGGGGTTGAAGATTAGTAGATCAGCTACAATGTTTAAAAACGGTACACTCAGAGGCAAACCCTCTGTGGCAGTTTAAGGGTTGGTTTCTGTGCATTAAAATAACAATGAACAATGATTTCCACACTGCAAATACAGTATCTACATGAAAGAGCCATGGGGCGAAAGTACAGTTGATGCATCTTTGAAACCGTCAGAGACACTGTGAACATGTTCTGCGTCGTGCTATCTAAAAAAATCTGACTGAGACAACATTATTATCAGCAACCCATCGGAGGCAAATGAAGGACATGAGGTTGCGATGATAACAATTTGGCATTTCTTACTGAAAATCTCAGCCAAATTCTCAACCACAAAACAATAAATACCTAAAAACTAGCCACTGCAAATCGATTCAAAATAAATTGTACGCTTGCAAAAGGCATGCAGCGCTGTATCTGGCAGTGGTGAATAAAACTGCTCAACATTTTTAATTAACAGTAAGTCTCCCAGATCGTGATTGAAATCCCTCCGATACTTTAAGGCAGTAGAATCTCTTTCATCCGTGACATCAAGCCAAAGAAAGTTCAGAAGTCGCTAATCAAAATTAATCTCAGCTGGCGGGGACCATTGAAAAGATGAAGGATAGGCGTAGGTATCTTCCAAATAAACATTTCTTTCATCACTTGCACCTGGGAAAATTACTTTAAGAAACCCCTAAAACTGAAGGTATCAAAAGGAGAAACTGGCAGGTTGTAGGGCTCACAGGTGTTTGTTTGTTTGTTACAAGCGCTTCTCAACGGGCGTTTGTCATTTCGGTGGCAGCGTTGCATGCTGGTTGCCGTATTTGAAGATAACAGAGGGAGAGAGACGGAGAGAGGGCGTGATGAGGATTTTTCAGAGGTCATGACGGGATGGCATGGGGTCTGGAGCCAGTCAAAACCCAGAGCAGAACCAGCTGAAGGCCCACCATCAGCCAAAGTGAGGGGCTCAGGCTGGACGCCCCGCCACAGTCAGGGTCCTTCTCCTGGTGGGAAAGGGGTTAAGTTACTGATTGTTACAACTTACTTATTAAACATGCTCCAATTGACCTCTCCCCCAACCTATGATTGTCTAGTGATAGCTATCAACTGCAGTTAGGTCTGCAAACCTGTCAAGCTTTGGATCACTCCACACATGCTAGCTAAACCAGGCTACGCTAGCTAAGGAGCTGTAGTAAAAGCCATAATCTCGATAAGTTTGGACGTTAGTGTCTTTAACTCTTTTCCTCTCAAAATCCCAAACTATTAACACTATTTCCCCATTTCTGATTAGCGTCCACTATGTGGAAGACAGTGCTGAAAGCTAAAAGAGTTTAGGCTAACGTTAGCAACCCTTTCCTGCAAGACAAAGGGAAAACACAGTTTTAACTACCTGCAATACCTGCTTTATTTTCCTATCCTGTAACTTGCCTTGTGAGGATGTTGTTTCTGACTTGCAGCTTTGGCCTCAGTCTTTTATCTTATATATTATATAAGATAGTGTATATTATATATATATATATATATATATATTATATATATGTTGCATTGTTGGAGAAGCCTGTGACATAAGATTTTCAACTACATAATTACTCTGTAGCTATGTCAGATTGACAATAAAGAACCTTGAACCTTGAATTTAGCTATTAATTTCATATTGAAAATCCTTTGAAGGATTTTAAAAGTCAACTCGAAAAAATTATCGGTCATATGTTTTGGACCAATTCTTTATTTAATATGGCAATTTTTTTTTTTGCCGGCTGAAATCCTGATTGTCCCTAATTCAATTACTTAAAGTAAATCTGCCACATTTATATTGCAAACTTCAGATATGATGTGCCACAACCGAAGACAGGTGCACTGAATAAACTGAAACGTTGACCTTGGTTTAATTGTGTTATTTCAACTGATTTCACACAACTGCATTACATAACTGGTTGGTTGAAAGCAACAATATAAAGTTGAATATATCACTTAATATTGTTTTTATTTTAACTTAATATTATTGCTTTCAACTAACCTAACACAGTTATGTGAAATCTGTTGACACACTACATTTAATTAAAGTCAACATATCAGTTTCCGTGTGTAGCATCTTAGCAACAGTAACTCAGAGGGGCCTGGACCTTAAAACATTATCAACCAGAACTATGCAGGGATCAAACAATAGGTAAAAAAAAATCTAAAAGACAAAATGTCTTTAAGATTTGACTGTAAAATCATGTCTGACCAAATGAGTTGAATACTCCCACTCTCTGTATGCTAAGCATCTGGAGAGGTACAGGGGAAAGAATGTCTCGCCTTGATATGCGTTTTGAGAGGGAAAGAAAGTTGAGAATCATTTAAAGAGACGCGCAAACGTCTGGATGCAAATGAGAAGTGAGTGGCCTGTTTTAGCTAGCGTCTGGATACATCAGTAATCAGATGTCAACAGAGAGAGAGAGACACCGGAGTGTATTGCCCGGGACTGACAATGATAGATGGGGAGAGATACAAAGAGCGTGGCTCGAAGTTCAAAGTCAGGTGAGACGGAGAAAATGTTGGCGAGAGACAGAGAGAGTCTGGGAGGTAAGTTGGGGGGAGGTGAAGACAGATGGTGGTAGAACATAAGAGAGAGTGACAGGAGCAAAAGATAAGGGTAGGAAAACAACGGAAAAAGACATGAAGAAGTGGAACAAAGCAGAAACAGTCAGATGTAAAAAGAGAAGAAGAGATAAGGCGAGGAAAACAAACAGAGAATAGAAACACCAGAAAAAAGGGTGGTGAAGTTATGAGCCTGAGGCAGTGAGATTGAATGTACGATAATGATGAATTGTTAATGAAAGAGAAAGCTAGCGTTATGGGACTGACCCGAGACAGCACATGAACAGTGGCAGCAGTAACATGAGCAGAGAGGAAGCCAATGGGGAGCCTGCGCTCCTTCGGCACATGGCCTCATCCTAACCATCAACAGCCAATCACAGAGCAGGAAAAAGAGAAAGAAAGAGAATCATGCAGCAAACAGTTCACATTGTTAGCAAGAAGTTAGAAGCAAAATATGAGCAGAAAAGGTAAGAAAATTAGTTTAGACAATAGTAGAAGATGCATTCACTTGAAGAAAGAGTTAGTGTGTGTGTGGGTGTTTGTGTACACTGGAAAAACTGAAACATTGACTTTAATTAAATGTATTGTGTCAACAGATTTCACATAACCTAAACTATTAAGTTCAACAGACGACTGCTTTCAACTAACCTAATACAGTGATGTGACATCTGTTGGCATCATACATTTAATTAAAGTCAACGTTTCAGTTTTTTCAGTGTAAGTGTGTGAGCATGACAGTGCAGGCATAAGAGTTCATTCACAAACTTAGACACTGGAAAAGGATTATAGAGTGAAAACAAACAGAGCATTCAAGTGCAGAGGTTTCACACGCAGAGATTTTGTGTTGTTCATAAAATGTTTGTTTGGCTTGGTTATTCATAGTTGAGAAATGCGTGGGAAATCTGCACACATACAGCTTTGGATGGATTGCAAAAAAACAAAAGACATGCACCATGTAAAAGAGATGGAAAGGTGCCGTGGGTAGAATTTCTTCACTGATATATCGTTTTCAAATGTTTTTAAAAGACCAGCTGAAATCGTTTCCTTCTTCCCATTTCCCCTTCCTTTTTTATTGGTCCCTAATAAGTTGCAGTTGCTACATCTTATTTTCCAGGTGAAATGTGATAAAAGATCAAGTTGTTTCACCCGGAGGATACATTTGGAAGAAATCATAAAAAATAAATATATACAAAAGAACACTCAGGCACTACTCCTCTGGAAACAACAACACATTGTCATATTGACCTTGATAACGTAGAAGGTAACACTAACAATGGGCTCAATATTCATTTTCTTCATGTTTGTTCCTATCTGGAAAGTTTGCCCTGTTTAAGCTTCTTTCAGCTACTTGTTTTGGTTTTTACGACGCGCAACTTTAATGTTATGAGGCAGCTTTTTAAAGTGTTAAATCTCTCATAAAGCCACTGTACGCTACCTGCCCAGCACTAAACAGCAGTTAATGCAGCTTTAGTAATATCAAATTCTGACATTTCTTTATTAATATTTCAGATATGAGTGAATTTATGTCAGGAAAAAAGGTCATAACTTCAGTATTTTAATAAATGTTGGTTATGTTCCAGCGCTAGCTTGCGTTATTCAAAAATATATGTTAGAATTGGATCTACAGACTATTTTCATAGTTCCGTCAGTGCCAGGAGTTCTGATTGAAGCTCTGTCCTCTAAATCTGTGACCAGGCCTACATTTTCCTTGGCGATGAACTCAAATGGTTTTAGCAGAGAACCCAGAAACGGTAGCCTCGGGGCACACGCATTTAATTTAAAAGGCTTTTCCCATTTCAGGCTGGATTTTTCCCAAAAACGTCTTAAATTCTTGCGAGACTAATAAAGCAGCAATGGTCTCACTTTTTAGCAGCTTGTCAGTGTTATACATGAAACTCTACACAGAGCACCTTCAGATACAAAGAATTTAACTGCAGTTTGAATTGTTCTCAACTAGTAGCCGTCCCAGGTCTGAACTTACGTGTTCGTTGTTATCAAGACAGACCGCGGGCCCTTTCCTATACCGAGGATTCTGAGCCATTTCACAGGGATCAGGACCGTTAGCTGGATGAGGAACGTCAGGAACATAACACAAGTCACTCTCAAAAAATAGCAACAAACATTCGGAACTCTGATTTATGTCATGGAACAATATTCACAGAACATTTTGATTAGTGTGGAAAATCTCTAGGATGTATTTTATTACTGTTCAAATCAAGATAATCCAGTGTAAATGTGGAAGGAGCATTAAGACTCACACCAAGTTGTCTCTTTTGGATCTCAAGCACATTGCTCAATCACTCAATGACATGGTAGTCATTTCTAGGCATTTAGTTTTCCAGAAGGCTTAAATTATAATTCAACACAGCCCTGTGTGTTTGACAGAGCTCCACGGATTTGTTTGTAAGCTATTCCGCAGAAGGATCACACACTTTCATCTGCTTCACAGACACAGTAGAGAGCAACTGAGTGCAGAGAGCTCTTTTCAATCTGGGCCAAATTTGAAAATTACTGTGGAAATGTTCATTCATTATTGTAGATGGAGGATTTAGACGATGCAAATGAAGGGGAAAGTGAGCAATGAGATTTACGGATAATCAGCCATGATTATCTTGACAAAAACAGTAACTTCTCAAAACATCTGTCGGCTGAATCAAATGTTCATGTTCTGCGCCAGATGATAGCTGTGCTGGGTAAAAGGATACACTTCTGCTCGTCCTGTATTAACGGCTTTGTATCACATGACGAGCAGGTGAGTTTTGCATCAGCGATGATGAAGACCAGGTTTGTGTTGGGCAGCTTTTCAGCGTGGTAGAGCCTGGAGAGGAGCACACAAGAGACACATGGGCTTAAATCCAGGAAAGATTGAGCTGAACATTGACATGCAAAATGTAACCACAAAGTAATGAAAGGCTTCTGCAGGCACATGCACATATAGACCTCAAAGGGGGCTCGAGCACCTGCCCTGTTGCACTCCTTTTAGAGAATGGCCCTTTACAAATCAACAACATGATCTTACACAAAACAAAACAAGAAAACTGTGTCTAATACACCTTATCTAAAGCTTATTTGTTGCTTTTTATAATTGTGTGCGTTAGTATTATATGATATGTGAATTATATTTACCTAATTGTTGTTACTTTGTCACATAGTAAGAGTATTTTAGCCATATAAAAGCAACCTCTCCTTATGGCCCGTTACTTCTGAGGCATAATCCGAATGCCTTTATTGAGAAGGTGGTACACTTGTAGCATTAAGTAACTGGTGTGTAGTAGGGCTGCTCAATTAATCGTATTTTAATCGCAATTACGATTATGGCTTGCAACGATTACGAAAACAACGTAATCGAAATAAAACGATTATTTTTTTATTATTATTATTACTTTTTTTTTCAGTTGAATTATACTTAAAGTTCAGGGTAATCAACTGTTAAAAATCTAACATCCTCTGCACGTGCCTGGTCTTCTGCTTTAAACAGACAGTAATTATTCCTTATACATGACCGAGCAACACACCCCACAATGAAAAGCACACTGTGGGTCGCTCATTCAAACCTCCAAACTGCTTTTATTTCCTGAGGGGACACAGATCTGCTGTGCCACCACACTGTCCTCCAGGACCTTTACCGCAACCCACATGTCGCTGGTGCACAAATGATTTTCTCTGCTTTTTTATGACGGTCGTTAAAAAGAGACGTGTGTGCGGCTAATGTGCAGGAACGCTGCGCGGCATGCGGGCAGGCACTCCATTAGCCGGCACGAGGGGGCCTTAAAAATGGCGTACGTACACACACGTGTGCACAATCACACACACACACCAACATGTCAAGACGGTGGTCCACACTGGTGACTTGACTTCACCTTCATGGCATGTGAATTTTTACTGCCCTCTCTCAGTGCCACCTCACGGGACTTCATTTGTGTCTCATGGATGCTAACGTATCACTGCAGGTCAGGGAAAGTGCTTAAATCTTAAATATACTCTGTAATGTGTCCAGGGTTGAGAGGTTACTATAAAAATGAAATCCGATGCAGTTAACGATTACCTGTTAAAAAATGTAGTCGGTAACTTAATCCTAGTATCACAATATAAAAGTAAAGTAACTTGTTTACTTTCAGCTTCTACTTTCTTTAATTTGAACTTAAGTATTGATGTAAGTACGGTTTTATAAGCTGCAGTGTTATTTTAAGCAGTTTTAATGTTTGGGAATGTGCTGCACAGTTTTCCAGCTGCATTTGTGAGCAGCAAGATAAAAAGCTGGAGAAGAGGAACTAATCTTCACTTCCTATCCAGTTGTTTTTAAACTGCTGCAGCCTCTTTGGCCACAGTCAGGAGATTAAGTTGAACTGGCAGCAGAGGAAACAAGTAGCATACTTAACTTTGTATTCAGGTCCAATTGGCCAGTTTTAAATTAAATAAAAATAAAAATTATGCAAGGATATTTCTTTCAACATAAAACTCAATGGCCTCTTATTTGTATTAAGAAGATAGAGATATGAAAAATAAATAATTAAGTACACATGCTAAAATGCCAAGACACATTAATGTCCTTCATGCAATGAGATTGAATACCAAATCAGTTTCAAATGATGAACATCAATGACATTTTAATTATTACTAGGTAAGCATGAATATACAGCCCAAGTTTTTACCATTGTGGATTTTTCTATACCAAATTATAACTCATGTATGCAAACATTATTTATACATGTTATCTATATTGTTGGGAATTGAGATAAAGACAACATGTTAGGGTAGGTTTTATTTTACTTCACTGCTTGTTAAACCCTTATCATGTCCTGGGTCAATTTGACTTATGGGTCTAAAAGTTTAACATAATAGAAGGGTTAAATAAATAAAATAAGTCAGATTTGTTCCGTTATTCTCCAAGCCTGTTTATGTAAGGCTTGGTTGAACTATTATATGCCTGGTTTGTACAGTAGGTAAGAAGGAATGCATATCTGTACCTGGTGCAGTTTTCACAGTCGATTGTGCCTCTGAAGGACAGGTTGTCGGTCTCAAAGTAGTATTGAGTTTGCTCTGTGATGCAGACCTCTTTCAGCCTGGCGTCTGACAATTCCTCATCAATCTCGGCTTTGGAAGGACACACAAGGAGATTTCATGTAAGCAAGTCACTTAAAAAAAAGAAATCTGACACAAATGTTCTTTTGGATCTGTTGGTAATCATTTAATTTTTAAAAGCTCATTTGTTTTCCTCACAAATACCACACACGTAACAATTCCACATTTGAAAAGTCTGCACACATGAAATCATTTGAAGATGGATGGAGTGCTCAACTGTTCCTATGAATAATATTGTTACTAACTTCATATTTTTGGCATGTGTTGAGTATTTCAATAGCATTTCAACAGTTTGCATACAATGTGTTCAATATCTTTTAAAGCCTTGGTGGTATGGACCCGAAAATATGAAAATCCCTTTTATTTCCATAATGAGGTCATTAAGGCAGTCCAGAGCTTGCTCAATATTCCCTCAATCACTATTCCTTTCTCCGCGTCATATCGACGGGAACTCACCTGCGTTCAGGAAATTGGGGAAAGTGATGCTGACCAGTAACTGTTGCAGTATTGACCTAAGAGCAAAAACACAAGCATGTCAAATGTCATGATTCTTTGGAACATAATCATAAATCATCTTCGTTAAACGCTAATGCATGAATAAATCAGGGGAAGATTTTGTGGAATGTGGACTGTCCTGGGAACAATTCAGCTATTAAACAGATGCTATATGTCTGTTTTACAGAAAAAATCCTCTGTCTGCTTTTCATTAGAATCTGAGGGTAAGGATTTAAAATGTTAGCTTTTATAGTGATCAATCATAGCTATCAATCATTTGAGAAAAAAATGTTGGACACGCATGCCAACCATATAGAAACAGATCAGAAATCAACGACTCACCACGCCGCAGCTGTAGCAAACCATCCCAAATTCAAAATATCTGCAATGGTGGGCTTAGAGGGAACAGAAAAGGAGAAATAATATTAGAGGAGGACAAATTTGAGTCTATAATAATCATTAATGTAAGACTGTTGCGCCAATTTAAACATCCTGTCTGTTTTTACAAAGCTACACTGTCCAGTTGTGCCAGTCCCAAAGACCAACAGGTTCAGCCAGAGACTTTAATTTCTCTCAGAGGAAATTAGAACACAAGCCTTCTTAACAGATGGGACGATCAGTATGTTAACAAACAGCTAGTGAGAAAACAAAGTAGCACACGGTTTGAATAAAAGGAACCAACATGCTGCTTTGATTATAGTTAGCATGCGAGGGTCTTGTTTTGGTGTTTCATCCTTTCCCTTCAGCTGATGACGCGTTGAGTCATCCGCCAGTCTTGACCAACCGTGTTCGACGCATCAAGCTGTTGACTTTGTTAAGAAAGAAACCCACTCATCACCTGGGTCACTTGTGTTGCAAGTCTTGGAAATTACAAGTTATCAAATTGTCAATTGGGGAATTTCTGCAACTGTAAATAAATACTTTAATCTCTATCTTCAGGTATCAGATTATCTGGGATAGACGCTCCGTGTAATGGCATTTCAGTAAAACAAATTCATCACTGCCACTGCCTGTCTGCGAGCAGTTTGCATCACTTTACTGCAAATTGTACGCAGGCTTGGGGAGTAATGGATTACATGTAACGGGATTACGTAATCAGGATACAAAAAAAGTAATTATTCCCTTGCAGTTACATTAACAAAATATATAATTGTTACATTTAAAAAGAAAAAAAGGGATTTCTGGCAGGATTACAATGTATCAATAAAGATATACAGAAAGTTGTACTGCCTGCATTTCCTTTTTGGTTTTCTTTAAGGATACTTTCATTACTTACATTACTTTTATATTGTGATACTTAGATTAAGTTACTGATTAAAATGTTTTACAGGTAACTAATAATTGTAACGGAATGCATTATTAAAGCAACCCTCCCCACCCTGGTACGATTCTAAGTGATGAAGAACAGTGCTTCACTCGCTGTGTTGGCCAAGCATGCTAGACCACCTAATCCTGTTACTGCAAACTCCCACTCTAACGCTTTCACCATACCCTCTGCTTTCCCTCTCATCTGCTCCGTCCAGATTTATGGCTCCCTGGTGAGAGACCGTTTGTGTGTGTGTGTGTGTGTTGTGCGTGTGTGTGTGACTTGCATTTGGATGTGTTTGAGCAAGCAAGTTTCTTACGAATGGCTGCTAGTTAAGGGAAATGTAAATGTGTGGCTATCAAAATGTGTGAACATGTACTGTAAGTGTGGGTGTGCTCATGTGGGTGTTCTGTGTGTGTGTGTGTGTGAGCGGTCTCTGGCTTATGTAACTCACCACATAGACGGAGCGCAGGCCTGCCGCCCCCTTGATCTCTTTCTCAGGGTCACAGAGCGACTGGTAGTCGAAGGTTTTCTTAAAGGTGAACAGGGATGAGTTGACCAAGTTAAACATGAGGATCGGGTCCATACCACCAAAGAAGCGCCCGATCTAAGCACAAGGACCGGAAAGATACATTTATTTACTCATGGATCAGTACATTCAGCACAAAATAGATGAAAATGTTTGAAAATCACAACATTGTTTCGTGCACATTCCTGCATTCTTGTCCTGGGCCCTAGGAATGCAGTAGCCCCTTTTTCTGCCACTGCCCATTCATTCTGTACAGTATTCCTATATTTCCACATTGATGTGAGTTAATTATAGACACATCTGATCTAAATATGATCCATGTAAGTATAGCATCTCTTTAAATGATAGATGTCTTAGAATTAGAATCTGTCAGGACCTGAAGAATAAGGTCATTACTATGTTTATGATGATTCATATTTTCTGATCCTACGTGAGAGTGGTTTTGATTTTTTCAGAGAGGCCATTTTGATAAACATCTGTTAGTAAGTAATGAATGCTGTCAAAAAGAAAAAAATAAGAAATGTGGTTTGCAAGAATGTGTCTGAGAGTGTGTTTATGTGGGTGCATGTACTGTAGGTGGTGATGGGTGGGGACTTGAAAACGTTTGAATCTTTTACAAAGGTGGGCTGACAGAAAATGTTTGGTTGGGTTTGGACCCTCTGACCAAACGTAAGAAATTCATAGCGGAAATAACAAAGGTCAGAAAAACTTTTAAAACCTCCTTATGAGAAGAAATCTTTTAAGTGCTTATGTTACAGTTATTTATACTTTACACAGTACTTAAACACCTTAAAATAGTCATGCCAAAATTGTTAAATGTATTTGAAACACAAGCACAAAATCAATTCAGAATGTGTATACATGTGCTGACAACGTTTACAGTGAGACACACACACTCACTAAATCACACTCAAACCAGGATGATGGACTTCAGTATAATCTGATTAACACCGTCCACTGGGAAGCCATACATTTCTACTAAGAGGAAGTAGTTTGTCTCGGCAGGTGTGACGTGACCGTGTGCACCGGAGTGTTTAAGTACTTGTGTATCCAGGAGGGAGTATGTACATTAGGTAGTACTCATCTATGTGCTGAAAGACGTGCTTGTGTGTGTGTGTGAGGAAATGCAAACTATCCCTTTCCTTCCACTTTGTTAGGTCACCGTTAACAAGCCTTCCTCCACATATCCATTCCTCTTTGGACTCACAGCCAAAGGATATATAAATCTTCCAATCTATAAGGTAAAGGGAGACTTCTCTCCTTTCCCTGAGCAGTAAAACAAATAATGAATTAACAGTCAGAGCCCTGTTGGCTGCAGACTCCCAGGGGGGTTCGGAGAAAGAAAAGGAACGCAAGACATAAAGAGGCAGAGCAAGCGAGGAGCTCACAGAAAGAGAAACTCTGCTCCTGTAGGAAATATGATTGAGGGCACACAACCTTCTCCAAACAAGGCCTCAGGTCCCTGGGTTTTAGTGCTGCTGCCAAACTTCAGAGGGCCACTGATTTATCCAGCGCACACTCAGGCCTGATTAGGAAGGAGACCAGGCCGCATGAAAAAACATTTACTCAGACGGCAGCAGGGACCTGCTATTAGCATTTAGCATAGGTTAATGGGATGCCGGGAAAAATGCATGCGTTTACTGTATATATGTGTGTGTGTGGGTGTAAGGATGGTCAGTGGTGGAAGAAGTATGCAGATACTTTACTTTAGCAAAAGTACTAATACATTATTGTCAATACTCCATTACATGTAAAAGTCCCAAAGAAGTACAAAAGTGTTAACAGCTAAAAGTACCGCAAGTGTAAAAAGTCAAAGTAATCATTGTGCAGATAGCTGGCCTTTATGTGTGTATATGATTATATTTATACATGTGACATTTCTAGATGATATTGTTGCATCAAGTTGCGTTTACTGTAAAAACAAAGCTCTGATTACTTTTAGTAAAAATATTTAAATCATTTGATTTGACTATTGTGACTTAAGAGATAGAACACTTGTTTCATGTTTAGGGATGCATTTTGTTCAAAGTAGCTAAAGCTTTGAAAAAAATGAAATGGAGTATAAGCATAAAGTAGCATAAAGTAGCATAAATTGGAAATACTCAAGTAAAATATCTCAAAATTGTACTTAAGTACAGTAGTTGAGTATATGGACTTATTTGTCCGGCAGTGGCTCAGTCAGTAGGGGCTTGGACTGTGAGCCGTAGGGTCGCCGGTTCAAGTCTCCGACCAGACCTACAATATGGAGTGTGGACTGCTACTTGGAGAGGTCCCAGTTCACCTCCTGCCCTGCCGTGGTGCCCTTGAGCAAGGCATCAGTAAAAGAGTAAAAAAGATCCAGATTTTAGGAAAAATCTGTTACAAGTAAAAGTTCTGCAATAAAAATGTTACCCGAGTTAAAGTACCGAATTGTTAGCATACTTAAAGTACCAAAAGTAAAAGTACTCATAATGCAGATTGGCCCCAGAATAATATATATTATATGTTTGATTATAATTATTGATGCATTCAAGTGTTATCAAAGCTGGTAAAGGTGCAGCTAGCTTTAATGACTTTGTATACTGCAGGGTAGCTTGTGAATGTCCAGTTGTGACTCATGTCTTATTTAAGTTGATTATAGATTCACATGAATTATCAAAATCAATAAATGTAGTGGAGTAAAAGTACACAATTTACCTCTGAATTATAGTTGGGTAGAAGTACAAAGTAGCAGGAAATAGAAATCAACATTTTTACTAAAGTACAGTACTTGAGTAAGTTACTTTACACCACTGAATGGCACAATGGAAGAACTTAAATTGCTTCAGACACATGTCTGCTCTTTTTTTCCAAAAATGTAAAATTAATATATCCTCAGGGAATTTACAGGGAATCTCAAGGAATGCAGTACCCACCTCCACCATAACAGCAACCCCCCAACACTTTGAAACAGATCAGGCCTAATGCAGATTAAATCAGGAACTCAGAAACTACCCTTCTTCTAGAGTTGACCCTACACGCTTATAAAGATTCTCAAGATCCCACTTGTGGAAGATCTAAATAAGGAAATTAAAAAAAAAACATCACAGCTGAATTAAATCATTGTAACCAACAAATTTGGGACACATTACGGAACACTGGTACAAGTGTGGAACTGTGTGATCAACAAATCCCCCTTGTTCCAACAATCAGAGACGATAATGTGAATACTTTTCAACCCACCAAACCAAATCACACTTGGCTTCACTTAAAAGACAACATCAGATGTGGAAATGATCAAATCAATGTCATGATATCACCAATGGCAAGTCTTCGCCCATCCACACACTGGTACGTTTTCTACCAGACTATTAATACATTGCAACACAACACTACAATCATTTGAACAGCCATGTGCACATGTAACTTGAAATAGGGCACATCAATTCATCCACTGAACCATTTAAAAAAAAATATGGAACAATATAGTTTGCTCCCTTCAGTTTTGTGAGTTAGAGTAACATGCAAAAACCCACCTGTTCAATATGTTCATCCCGATTGGACATCACCAAGAAGCCCCCGTCATCCAGAAGGACACAGTCTACATACTGGAACAACATAGAGATCAAATTAAACCAATGTCTCATCCCTAATTAGTGGCTAAACTCACAATGACATGCAATTCAGCCTCTTACCACATCGTTTCGCTGACAGCCACAGATCTCATCATTACACTGAGAATGCAGAAGAGAGGATAGAGTTATAAAACGTCATAATCTGGATCAAGTGTGTGTCCTGCATACAAATCCACTCACATTGATCTTCTGTGTGGTGTTGATGAAGCTTGTCATCCAGGCACCAATGTCCAACTTAATGCCGACAACTGGATTCAAACACAAAAGCCAGACGTCTCAGATCAGGGGTGAACAAACCTTTCCCTTTGAGGGCTTAAATTAAAAACATAATTGTTGTCTAAAAACAAACATCTGTACAATTTTACATAATAACATGTTTTAACTCAATAAAACAGTTATTTAAATGTTATTTACAATTATTTTAACTTATTTATTTGGGTTTTTAATGCTGGCCAAATTGGACCTAATGGCAGTCCAACTTTGGCCCCTCGGCCTCACTTTGGCAGCCCTGTCCTAGATCATGTTGGACCTCTGTGTCAACTTTACTCTCTGATCCTCCAAAATGCAAACTTGGCCAACGATCACAGGAGACAGGACAACTTGATGTGTGGTTTGTGTGTGTGTGTTAGTAATTACATGTCAGAGAAATAGACAAATAGTGGGGAAGCGGTCTGTAAGTAATATCTGTGTGAGTGTGTGTCCCACAATATTAATCACACGAATAGGGTTGGGGCTAGGGTTTCAAATGTGGGTGCGTAAATAAGTCACATAACTCTAAGTGTGAATATTTGTATACGTAGGTGGCAGAGAAACAATTTCAGACAAAAAAAAGAAGAAATTTGAGCAAACAAGCCCCTCTCTCCTTGTGTGTGTGTGTGTGTGTGTGTGTGTGTGTGTGTGTGTGTGTGTGTGTGTGTGTGTGTGTGTGTGTGTGTGTGTGTGTGTGTGTGTGTGTGTGTGTGTGTGTGTGTGTGGTGTGTGTGTGTGTGTGTGTGTGTGTGTGTGTGTGTGTGTGTGTGTGTGTGTGTGTGTGTGTGTGTGTGTGTGTGTGTGTGTGTGTGTGTGTGTGTGTGTCCGTCCTTACCAGCTGGTTTGAGTGCAATACCATCAACATTGATGTTTACTGCTTTGCTCACCAGGACTGTGTCGTCAGTTGCTGCAAGAGGAAGAATAAGTAAACTGTTCATATGTGCATACACATTAAGGTGCATAGACATTAAGGCACCCACACCCACACCCACACACACACCCACACCCACACACACACCAGCTTTTACTCACAGTTCGCTTTACTGAGGTAGGGTGTTGGAGTGAAGATGTACAGATCATTGTCCAAACTTCTCTTATAGAAGCTTGACTCATACGTCTCTGCTTCTTCTTGCCAGTCGAGCCCAGCACTGCGAAGACATTTTTATAAAGCAACACACAAACAATGCTATTAATAAACCTCTACCTATAGCCATGTCTTGCAATCTATTTCTGTAAGAGCTACTTGAAATAATAATATTTACATAATAGAAAACGGGGAGTTTTTTTATACCAGCAAATCCAACTATCATTAGCTTTCCACTGGGGCACCTCAGGAACAAGTACTGGGCCCATTGCACTTGTCCTTTAACTACCATTTAACTTGGCAATATCCTTTAAGAATATGATGCTGAATTACATTCTTACACAGATATACTGTTATTTACATCCCTTTCTCCCAAAAATACATTTATTTTACTCTTGAACACAGTTACAGAGAACACACAGAACACATGTGCTGTTATATACGTGTAAACCAGCCACCACTGGTCCCTGTACATGACTGACAATTTGAAGACTGATGCTACGCTCAAATGAAGCGTAACATTTTCCAGTTAATCTACATCCTGACCCTGATATATGTTCATCAAATGGTGAGTTGACTGGACTGCTTTGCATAGCAAGTTACCACCATGACTCAGACTTGAACAAGGGGGAATGGAATAGGGGATGCATGTTCAAATGTTATTTATAGAATAAACGGCACTTTAATGCAGTAAGATGCATATTTCTCAAAATACATTTGAATTATTTTCTATCGAAGTGACTGTATTGAAACGGGGAGACAGAGGTGATGAAATGCGACAAATTCTCCCATGCTGGATTCTAACTCGGGTCCTCTGTACAAGGACCGATGCGACAGTTGGTGGCCGAAATGTTCTTTCTTTATCAAATTATTCTAAGCGTATTATCCTTCCTATGCTTCTACACCAACCCTTCTTCCCCATGATCTTGACAAGTACCTTTTCGGGAAGACTCGGGTGATCCCTCCATCGGTGGCAACAAATCTGGCAACAACACCAGGCCTGACAAGCAGAGAAGACAAAAACACTTAAACCATCTGCACTCAATTTCTAATAAGACATTCAGTACCAAAACCAAAGTAACAAACAATCGATACTACATTTCCATTTGTTTTGTTCTGTCTCGACTTAAGATGTGCAGTGAATGGTACCACTTACTGCAAATCAGTTCCTTTCCAATGCTTGATCAGAGTTGATGTGATCCCAGCATCCAGCAGCAATCGGTTCACCAGTTCCACATTACCTAAACAGAAAACATCACTTGAGCTCAAATGTGTTAACCACTCTGTGTATCAAGTTTAACTGCAAGCTAACTTGAAGAAACTAAACAGAACCCATTTGATCAACAGATGAGATCTTGTTCTTTAAAAAAGGAGGAACGAAGCAGAACCAAAACATTCGTTTCTTTAACCCTCATGTTGTGTTCGAGTCAAATCTTGACCAATTAAAAACTTTCATCAATCATAAGCATTGTGTTTTACATTTGATTGCCTTATGATATCCTCCACAGTAGGCATTTGAATATATGAAATTGCTGATCACCAATTTCATTAAATTTTGATTGGTTTAGTCAACTTTGTTACACCTATGGTTTCCTGTCAAAAATGATCTCCATAGGAAATGAATGGGTAACCCTAGATCAGGGCTCTCCAACACGTCGATCGCGAGCTACCGGTAGCTCGCGGGCAGCTTTTCAGTAGCTCGCCGCTCGATTATCGATTATAGCGTAGTAAGGTTGCTTATTGATTTTCGGCCGCGGCTGGACCATAACGTTTTTTTATTTTAGAATTTTTTCTGTCACATGAATATCAAATGGTCGGTGACGCAGAGATCAAGGAACAGACGTGACAGCAGCACAGCGACATCACACACGGAGCAGTCTGCTTTCTCCACCAACACCAGTCCAGAACCAACAGCAGAATGACCCGCTCTGAATCAGGCCCTGTCGCTGCGCCTCAGAGACACACAGGGAGGGATTTGTGTTTTTTGAAAAACACTCGTTATCGTCATGTCAGGTTTTTGGTGGATTTAATCAAGTCTTGGATTGCAGAGTATGAATGTCCTCTTGCTATTTTCAGTTGATAAATACTTGTGTAAAGTTTGTGAAGGCAGGAGGAAAGCTTCCGCGATCACCGTCTCCTCTCCGTTCCTCCAAACCCCGCCCCCTCCCTGAAAATAATGAGTGACAGGCTGATAGTGACCCGATAGAAACTTTATTATTCACTTAATCACTGATTGAGATATGATGAAGCTAACTTAATCTCATACATTCATGGGATTTATGTAACAGTAAGACAGATAATGTAAGTGTGCACCCACATGCACTATTTTTGTTTTTATAATGCTATTGTAAATACTCCTGCTGTTTTCAGACTCAAGTCATGTGTGTGATGCCACATTCAAGACATTCAGTGTCTTTTTTTTAACAGAAGACCGTAGCTAGAAGCTGCAGCTAGACTGCAGAAGTATTTGTTTTTTGTTTTTGAGAATGGAACCATTTTCACACACAGATATAGGGAGGCTAGACCTATACAATTGATTTATTATGGTTTATAATTTAATGTCAAGACGAAGAAGAAGAAGAAAAAGATGGCTGAACAACTGTTCAGTGTCAATCCTGTGGAGATCTCCAAAATAATGTTCAGCTTAAGTCTCAGCAAAACTCACAACATTTCTGGAGCCTTGTAGACCCAGAAAACTATAAGAACATTCACCAAGCAGCACTGAAAATGTCTGCTTTATTTGGTTCTGTTCTACATACCTTTGTGAAGCAGCTTTTTCTGACATGAATGAAATCTAAATACAGAACAAGACCGACTGATGAACATTTAAATGACTCTATTAAGTGAACCTAAGTGGGTCCAGCATACACCTCTATGGTGGACTGTATGCAGTGCCATTCATCTCACTAACAAAAGAGTGAAATGCTTGTAAGGTGGTGATTAAGGACACTTATGTGAATGTTCAGTGATGTACTTATTATGTGGGCCATAATAATATGTGAGAAATCTTCGTTTTCTTGGACCTTATTTTTGATAAGCTTTAGGTATTGCAATTTCACACGTGTACAAAAGTATAGCTTAATTTAACTGATGAGGGCTATGTGAATAAATGTAAGCGATGTGATGCAAGTAGCTCTTGGCCACTTTCATTTTTTGAAAGTAGCTCTCAGATGAAGAAAGGTTGGAGACCCCTGCCCTAGATTATGTTCAACCCTCAGATAGGACACACCCACAAATCGACAACCATGGATTTTTGTGGACATTATGTGGTCTATTCCTTTTATATTCACTGCAGTTATTCATGTAAACCAGTAGTCTGAGACATTGTTTACAACTTAAAAGGATGTTAAATAAAATGTGGTGATGATTAATGCTTTTTGTGTTAATGTAATAGCAGTTAAAACAGACTGGTCGGATTTGACCGGGAACACCAAAGTAAGGGGGGAGAAACTAATGTGACAGGAGGGTTAAAATAGAAAGAAGGTATTTGAAGAAAAGCCTACATCTTAGACACAGCAGACCTTTATAGTGGTAGTGAAGGAATGAAATACGTATTAAAAGCCAAGAAGTATTGATGGATGAGCCTGATTCTGCCAAGATGTAGTTGGCGGGTTGGTATAGCTGTAACAATTCATTTTTCGAGACATCTGACAAGACCACATGACAATCATAACAGGCGATAAAAGCCGTTCGCCCGTTTTTTGGCACTGCCCGCCACTTTGAACTCCCCGACGACTCACTTCAGTCCATTAACATCGAGGTTTGTCGATATACCCCCACCATCTCTTCAAACCTTTATGACACACCACACACATCAGAGAAAACAGCTGGTGTAACACTTTATATCCCTCTGCCCCACCTTCCCTCCTCGCAGTGGTTTTCATTAGGGATCCTTTATTGAAGGCAGCCCAGGAATTCCTAATGTACTTCACCTTTTTCGCCACTGCAGTGGCTTAACAAAGTAAAGCGTGTAACGATACTCAAGCCTCCAAAAGTCCACATGGGCCCTACGTTCACTCTCTCTGAACTCCCTATGGACTCCATTAAACTAGCAGCCAATAATGGTGAAAGTAATATTTCAATTGGGTGAAACGTTTTATTGGATGGATCAAACTGATATGTTTGAACTAAGTTCTCCAACTGAGGTGATATTTTATAATTACCTGGGGACCTTTTGTTTGACTCAATGGGCACAATAGGTGAGTGATGCATATCAATGAGTGAATGCAAACAAAGGATGTTAATGCGTTGGTCAGATGTTTGGGAGAAGGTCCACTGGCCCCTGATTCGTGTTTTATTGCTCCTCTCATGCTCCTGGCTTGACGTGTCCTGCTCTTTCTCACAAACACACAGTAATTGGATGAGGTCGAGCGGCTATAGGTGGGGTGTGGAAGGCATATTACTGGTGAATATTGTGTGTGTGCGAACGCGTGTGTGTCACATCTAAGCCGACGTGCCTCACACATGTGCACTCAGGCGTGTGATGGTCAGACTTTTGGAGTTAGCATCAAATGGGTAACACGAACACAGGGGTTCCACATCACAAAGCTTTGCCTGGTCATGCACACCAAACCATCCAGCCAGACCTGTATTTCAGTGGAAAGAGAGACCTCTGGGAAAAGGTTTCAGTTGGCCTTCTTCCATTAAATGTTCAATGAACACCTTAATGTCAAGCCAGATGGCTGAAATTCATTCACATATACACACCAGAGTAAATACTGCAGCAGCTCTTTGAGATGTAAATTTAAATCTGTGGTGAGTATAAGTAAAGGTCCTGCAAAGTATTTAAAGAGCTATAGTTAATGGCACCAGAGGCATGTAAGGTGGAAAGCGTTATCTGATTTATCTATATGTTGATACTCACACATGGGGTTGTTTGGAGTCTTTGTGTCAATGTAATCGTTGAACTCAACCAGGAACTCGGTGTTGTTTTTGTTCTTGTTCTTGTCAGGTGGCTTTAAGTCCTTGCAGTACACCCTGAGGGAGCAAAAGCTCTTAGAAAGGGAATTCATAAAATGCAGAAAAACAAGTGAATCACAACGTAAGAATGTGTCTGCATACTGAGTCATAGTCGCCGTGTAAACTATGTCTAGTCTTACCTCGGTGCAATGAATGTATAGCCGTATTCATCAAACTTGTCCGCCATCAGGCTTTCAGAAACTGGTGAAAGGTGGAAATTGTTATTAATCTTCCTGGCATGCAGGTTAATATTAGACAGGCTCACTGCTCCACTCGGGGGAATGGAACAGCTGTTGAATATTTAACAGTGCATCAAAATGAGAAACCTTCTGCGGGGACCCAAAACTGAAAATGAGTTTCTATCTCTTGACAGGCTGAGCATTAAAACTTCAGTACCATACTCCATCAACTCCTTCTAATTTCACTGTTAAGCCCGAGGTCATTAGTTTAAGATATGTTTTTAAAATGCAAGCTTTCTTAAGGGAGAAAATAAAAATACATTTACAACATAACTCATAAAAATAGACAAGCGTTTTACGATTAATTAAAACACTTGAAATAACCCAGTCTGGCAGAGCTGAACATCAGCTATAAATAAGAAGGAACAGAATAGGCTTGGCCAGACATGCTGGGTAAGAGATCGACGAGGCTCAAGAACAAGAGGGGAGAGATGAAAGTAAAATGAAAAAAATACTTGCCATCTTTCCCTGGAGTGGAAAAGAATCCCAGCAGAGAGAAAGTGAGCGAATGAGAAAATCGTCCCCCAGGGAGGTAAAGACAAGAGGGAAAAGAAAGGGGAGAAAAGACAGGGTAAAACCACAGGGGTCAAAGGTGACACAATATTTTATTCACAGAGCGAGTCCTGAATAGAAATATTGGATTCCAAACAAAAAGCTCTTAGGCTTTTGGATGTGAATGGAGACAGTGCTGATGGAGAACACAAAGAGAGGCTTAGCATGTGGTCAGACAGATTTAAAGTTATCATTTCGACGTGTTTTTAGCATTAGTATTAGCATTCGTTTGGTGATACAGTAAATCTGTGGAGTTATTGCACTTCAGCGATGTATTTGCACTACAATACTGCACATATGAGGAATATAAACCACAGCTCATAACCTTAACGTCCCTTTGACATTCTCTAAAGTATGCTGTGTTGACAGATGATTATACTGTACAGGAACATTTCTCATGACGCCGTGGGCTACTCCTCGTCCTCTATGGTGGTCATGATTGGAAAATAATTGCACCCATGTGTGTATTCTTTGATATTCGGTCGCCACTTTATAATCCAACAAAATATCTAGTAATGATGGATAGCAGGGTGATTCGGGGAGTGACGACTGCTTATATTTTCTGCACTCACGCACGCCCTGTCACAGTGAAAATGACATACCTGCCATTTTTCTGAATGTTTTCTGAATAACTGATTATATATTTAAAGCACGCAGTTAGAATCCATATAAAATGTGAATTAATTCCCGCATGAATCAATCTGTATCTGCATTGACTTAACAAATGCATGACAATGACACGGGGCAAGTGGAACATGATATGCTTTCAAGTTCACTTCAGTTTTTACATTGACATTTATATTCACACTGGGAATAACACAGACACAAATCTGGCTTTAGTTTAAGCTAAACCACAAAGCATCAACATGTCGTGTGGAGATTTTAAAATGTAATTGCCACGGACAAGACAAATATGATGACAAAGCACAAAGGAGAATGAACAGAAGAGACAAAGCTCGGTATGTTTAGAGGGAATTTTCATCAGGAATTATTTAACAAAGCTATAAAACTTGTGTCAAAAGTGAGTCAATAAGAGAAAAAAAAAGAAAAGCACCGACTCATGTTTTGGGTGCAGACTCACAGCTTTCGCCTTTATGGCTTCACCTTTAAATAACACACACATCCTGCCCTCTGTTCTTCCTGCTACAGAGCCAAAACCACATCTGAGGGCCAATGGAACAGGTGGGGGTTAAACACATACATGCGCACACAGACACACACACAACATCTGCGACAAGCTGTGTGGGCGCGCATTGCATGCGAAGCGCTGCTCCTGTGAGCAGACGCCAGCCTGATTCAATGTAACACAATTGTCATTATTAATCATAAGCCACTAAATGAAGACAAACAGAAAACTAAACTCTGCTGTTTTCGTAAGTCCACATATGACAGACCAATTAGTAGGGTAGTTACATCCTAAGTCTGCTGGTAGTGAGAGTTAGAAGACAAGAGGTTATGAGGTGAAGCACAGGAGGAGAATACTTGCCCAAAAACGCTGCAGGGGGGGGGGGTCCAACACAGCAGGAATGGTCAAGAGTTGAGGAGGGAGAACAGGAGGAGGCAGGAGGATACAAAGACCAGGGGAGGAAAAGGGGATTTGGAAAAGAGAGCAGTAAAGGAAAGAAACAAACAGGGTTACACCCAATATTTTATTCAAATGGACATTGAATAAGAATATTGTATAAAAAGTATAAAACACTTAAAAAAGTAACCTGTTAACGGTGAAAGGGTGTTTAGTATAATAATAATCAAGTTAATAGGAATTCTGTGTGTTTTTAATGACCTTGCGAAGTCAACGATCTGTGTTTATTCACTAAATGTTAGGGTTTAGACTTGGTTATAGGTCTGATTAATGTCAATGCAATGTCATGGGAAAAAACAGAGGTGGTAATTAAATGGACCCCACATTATATTTCCATGTTTTAACATTTCAATTGACATCTTATCCCTTACGATTTAAAAAGTAATTGTCTGTAATCGGTTTGAAATTCTACTATGTTCCCATTATATTGTCAGAGCTATGTATTCTCTCTGTTGGGGAGTTCACCAATAAGTCATGATTTCAGAGTCAGCTGCAACATCAGTGAAGAGCTTTTTCCTGTTGACAAAGTTACCCATGATTTCAGCTGCCAAACCAACAAATACTTCTCACACATTGGAACAACCTACTTGTCTCCGTTCGCGACTGCACTAAATGAAACCCGGCTAGGAACAATAAAGGTGAAGACATTTTCACTGTGATGGATTACCAATGTCAAACAAGCTTTTACCCTCTGCTAGTTCATGTTCACAGCTATCAAAAGCAAGGCAATTAACCTTCCTGTTAAAATTTGACCAGTATCCACATGTTTTCAGGTTGGGATAAAGGCTTATTTTACCAAACTGCAGCAAAAATAAGATGCATGGTTCCATACTACATTCTTTGCAAGAAAAAATTAGGATCACTACTTTCATTAAATTATGTTTTCTTCATTAAAATGTATAGCATCCCTGGCCTTCTTGTGTCCATTTTGTAAATTTACAATTTCTTTGCCTTTTATTAACAAAACAATGAGGTTAAGTTTTGTGTAAATGAATTCTTTTGAGCACTAAAAAGTCACCAAAACCATCATTAAAACCAGAAAACATAAGGACAGAGAGACTGTCGGCACTGTCGGCACTGACCGCACACACTTGCATACAAACTATAAAACTTAGCTTTGAGTAACTCTATGAGTCATTGACAACTTTTACTGCTGGGAACAGACGGGGTTTAAAAAGAGACACGAGACGACAACACCACACATATGTAACCTCTGATCCACAAAAGGCTTAAGTATAGACACACACGCATACAGTACAGCCACTTGAAAACACACAGACTAACATATTTAGTGAGGTACTTAGCAGTAAATGAATCGATGAGTGCTAAATGTGTGAAAGGCGACACTGGAGCTACTCGACTCGCTGTCTGGGGACAAAAGCTTAGCACAACCCAGGGTGTGTGTTGCCATAGCGACACAAGAGGGCATGCAGGCTAGGTGTAGATGTGTATATGTTCGTGCATGGGGCGCTATAAGTGATGGATAGGAACCATAAGCATTTTTTAGCCTTATATGGAAGGCAATTATGTCCCTGGGAAGCATTTGCAGTCGTTTTCTAACGAGCCACATTAGTTTACAGTCTGTTATAAAGAAGGTAAATATTACTGAGTGGAGAAACTGAGAAAGGCAGAAGCAACTGATCTAGATGGCACTCACATTTTGCCTGGGTGATGGTGTCGGCGATGTTGGCCCGAATGTAATGCAAACTGTGGGTAGGAAGCACCAGGGCCAGGCTGAAAGGGGACACACACACAAACATCACAACAGTTTATTTTTACAGGAAACTTTTCTAGACTTTCAGATTTGTTCTACAACTTTTTTGCGATTTGACCAGGGTTTTTCTTATTTTAGCATTTGTATTCATTTTGAAAATCCATATGTTGTTACATCAAATAAGCATATCTTTGTCTGAGACTTTAAATCCATGCACATAATCGTGCTGAGCCAAAAAATTCACATGCAAAGACATACAATAAAAACATTGCATGTTCTCCTTTTTGTTTTGAGAAGAAATTCATAATAGCAAATCTTTCAGTGAGTCCTGCGATGTATTTTTTAGCAAAACACTGTTTCCAAATATGACTTCACTGATCACTTTAAAGTGTGTCTGGACTTTGTTGGGATCACAGTTCAGCTCTAATCCCAAAGAGAACTAAATAGATTTAAGAAATGATGACAAACATTTTGCAATCTGAAACATCTGGAGTTTCTCTCTTCCGGACTGAAGTTTGGTAAAAAAAACATGTGAACACATGCAAAGGCTTTATCCTTAATTAATTGTTAATACTTAACATGTGATATTTACCTGTAATCTGTGCCCTTCACTGGGGCAAAGGTGTAAGTCCTCTGACTCGCGTCGATGTAGCGCTTTAAGAAAAGTTTGGTCAGTACACACAACATTTTCTGAGCAAATGTGTTTATAATCGTCATGGAATCCAATAAGCCTTTAAATACGATATTACCTCATCTTGGGATTTCACCAATGTTGATATTGTGTGACTCCCTGTGTTGCCGTCTATCATTTTCTTCCTTATCTGTTGAACAAATGATCAAACGTAAATAAATCAACCAATTTAAAAAGGTTAAGAAAAGACAATCAGACTAAATGCAGAAATTACACTGCTATTGTTTCTGATTGAGGTCATGGAATCGTTAGAGTTTAATTAATCTATTCTCCAAACCTCCACTTTGATCTCATTCTCCAGCTCTGCATCCAGGAAGTCCAGTGTAACAGGTTCATGAAACTTGGCAGTCTACATAAGAAAATGCAGGCAATTAGTATGTGGTACAATAATTTATAGCCGGTTGGTTATAACTACAAAGGAGAACAATTGAACAATACACATCAGTTATTGATCTTCTGTTTGCAAAGCACTGATTCAGACATTTTTGGAGACCCGAATAGGGAACTAATTATAGACAAATTGATGTCATGACACAGACTTTTGAAAGTCTTAATAATTTTAATTCTATGGTTGTTTTCATCTGTGGCCAATGTGTGCATGCGGAATTTACAAGAAGAACACAACTCTGGAAGGTCAATGAGAAACATATTGCTATGTTTCAACACACATTACCCGAGACACACATGATTGGGACATTTTAGAACAAGAAAGGATAAGTCAGCCAAATAACACAAACAAAATCAGTGAGGTAATTAAGGCTAAAATTGTCTCTGCATATGCTATGCTAAATCAGGTTAATGCGTAAATCATAGCTGCTATGCAGTAAAAGAAAATAAGAATTTGACAACACAACACTTAATAATTGTGTTACACAGTATCCTACTGGGTTGTTAAAGAAGCTAAATAGGAAATTCAGCGAGTATCTTTGATCGTGGGATTGCCTCCAAACGGCTAACAACAATTAGGCTACATGCTAATGGTGCTAACAGTGCAAACAACAGCAAAGGTGGGAAACAGATCTAACTATGCTACTCACTTCATCTATATAAAGAAAATAATTCTTGCTGCTACATTAATTATCTGAATGTTGTAGACTTTATTAAAGCTAAAAACTACGTATTATGTAATAGGATTTTTTTAAGAGGTGCAAAATGCTTTCTTTACATTACATTACATTACAGAAATGCTTTCTCAGTCTAAAAAGCTAGTTGACTGTCACTGACATCTGTTTTATTGTGCCAGTTCGACGTATATTATAAAATCACTCTGTTTTATCAAAGCAACCAGACGGTCCCAAGAAAAAGACAATGTCAAGTTTTCCTACCAGTGGCTGGAGATTAGGGTGGAGCAGCACATATCCATTGGGGTCAATGGCAAAGTAGTAGCCGTTTGGTCCAAACTACAGGAAAAAAGGAATTAGAGAGAACGTTATGCATGTTTTAGGTGAAAACCATGACATCTACGGTTTAAAAAGGCTGTTTCCTCTATGTTTTTTTTTAGCTCTTACAGTAAAGCGAGGCGTCAGTCTCTTGATATCTTCTAGGGAGACATCAATAGCCATTACCCCCAAGATGAGCTGGTTTTGAGTTTTCTGAGAGAAAAACCACAAGGGAAAAGCAGAGAGAAAGTCAGGGTTAAAACGAGACACTGTAAGAGTCCTGTTGTTCTTTCTGGATGAGTCAAGTCCCTCTGTGCACTCTGAATGATTTCAAGGAAATGGGGTGCAAAAGAAATCTGGACAGTCTCATTCCCAAAAGCTTTACTTTCGCCATGAGTCACTGACAAGGCATTTCCAGGCTTCGTTTTAGCGGAGGTAACCCCGAGCGGAGGTAACCCCGAGTCCCTCGAGGTAGACATGTAAACTCATCTTGAAACACTTAGCTACTGGATCATTTGTCTCTCTGATGTGCGGGTTTGATCTCCTTTTGATTTTTGCTACGCTAGATGATCTTCCCGTGGAGGCACGTGGGAGAGCTCCGAGGGACCTCAGCATCAACAAAGGACATAAAGAAGAGCCACAAGAAAGAGGAGGATAAAAGTAAAGTATACAACAATTATTGAAAATAGACCATTCATGTTGCACGTTTGATTTTTAGTCGGTTGTGTGTGAGTAAACCGCAGACTTAAATTCACCCACCATGTCAAAATGTCAGACGGAGGAAATTGAGTCAGTCAGTTAGTGGAGTGATTCAAGAAAAATAATCTGGTAATGAGCATGTTTATTATACTGAATCCACCATTGTTTCTTTTGAACAGCTATCAGAACAATATTCCCAAAGAGATCAAGAAGAAAGACTCCTGCTTATTCCAGTAGCAATCATTTTACAAGGATCAGCTTAGACGATCATAAATGAAATGACTAGCACTGGAAGGGTTTTGGAACTGAAAAGGAAACCATGAGATTTAGATATTAAACTGATATGATTGAAGAAAGACGGGTAAAATGGGTGAGGTTTAAACACAAATAATCTCTACATCTGTGACAAATCTAATTTCATCAGTTTTATTTTTATTTCATTTATTATTTTATCGTTCTATTTATTATCCTATTTTGAGTATGCTTTGTAACAATAGAATGTCTTTATAGAAAAATCTTTAAGGAAAAACAGTACTAACAAAAACGAGATAAAGGAGTTAACCAGAATCTATAGGAAATTAGTAAAAATAAGGATCAAAAGCAGTCTCTTGTTTACCTTTGAGCCTGTGTTGGTTTTGTTGAAGACTGGCAGAGTTCCAGTAATCACCAGGCCGAGTTCCTGGAAGATAAAACACACAACATATGGAATAAACATTAAAGGCAAATCCTTCATATTTATGGCATACATTCACAAAATACCACATATTGTGTTATCTATTTGTGAATGAGACAAAAAGCAACTCAAACTTTAAAAAAATATGTTTACCGTAACAAAAAACAGACATATTTCTGGTGGTGACGAGGTCAATACAGTCACACACTTTGACAGCGTCTTATCAGTGAAATGAATGACAATATCCAAACCGTTTGGCTCAGTTTACCAGACTGCTTTCTTATCTACAAAGTTAGTCTTGACAGAAGCTTAAGCACCACAAGAAACTGATCGGTTGAGCATTTTTTAAATAAAGTGAATCAGCCCTTTCACAAACACGCCTGGAGTTGAAGATGTGTTTACTGCAATGACAAACAGAACATGTTTAATCAATTGAGCAACACTTATCTGGAATCCTTCATCAGATAGAAAACAGAGATCATGCTTATTCTTGATGAGCTCCACATTTGGGCACAAATGTCACTTTGTTTTCCGACTGTTTTCTCAAAGCTTATTTTGTAATAACATGCATTTTACCTCTGATATAATACGGACATACCAAAGGATCTGGAATCCTTCATCAGACAGAAAACAGATTGCATCTCTGTTATAATACGGACTTACCAAAGCATCTAGGTAGACGTTGGTCCACTGAACCTGCTTGAATTTCTTTTCAGCCTTCACCATGGGCCTGCCTAACACATCCAAATACTCCTGCAGAGAAAGATGAGAACTACAGTTATAATTTACTATGTGCACCTCAGTCATTCCACCACAAGAGGGCATAACACACAACTGGTTAAGTAAAGCAGGGTGAGAGAGATAAGTGAAGTAGCAGCCATTTATTGACACACAGGTATTTATTGAAGTGTTGTAGTTTACCTGGGTGTTGATCCGGATTGCTCCTATAGATGGGATCTCATAGTAGTACCCTGAGAAATAGACAAAACCTTTATTCTAACATCCATTGTAAAAACATTAGCTGCATTAGGAGGACATTCCACATCTTATGTATTTAGCAAGAGACTATAACCATACATATCTAGTATCTAGTAGTACTATTCTGGGGTGGGCAATGTACGTAATGAAAATAGGAATTGTACTGAAAAGCAAGCAGCAACCTCTAATTTAAGGTGGACTAAAAATAAACTTTGAAATTAAATTCAAGGGCAATTCTGCAAAAGGCATACAAAGGCCATTTTAGGTTGCAAGTGAAACATGTTGATATTCTCTGCAATTAAAGTGGTACATTTACAATAAAACGAACAGATTATGAAGTCATAAATCTACAAGAAAAACTCAGATAAACAATGTATTTGCCACATGCAGACTTTAGTGAGCCCATTGATCAATTCAGAAATGTGATGCATGTTAAATACCTTTATTAGCGCAGGCCATCCACTGTATTGGTCCTTTATCATAGTTGTGTTGACCTACTGAAAATGTAAAGATGCGCACCTGAGGAGAAGAACAAACATAAAACACTGAATATGATAAAAAGCAAAGTCTGCTATATTGTACTTTCTAAACATCTTGTGTTTTACAGTCTTACCGCTTGCTTGGGGTTGTATTTTTTAAAGATCTCCTCTGCCCTCTCTTCTCCTCCGTCAGTGAACAGCATGATAATCTTGTTACAGTTTGCCCTTGACACATTCGTCTAGGGGATACAAAGGCAAAAATGTTGGCATTTCAAGCACTATTTAACCAAGTAGACTGAATAACAACACATACTTTAATAATTATGAGCAGGCTGAAGATGTAATTGCAAGAAGACTTCAAGGCTCATTCCTTTTTATGCAAGTACAGAAGATGGCAGGGAAACGTTAGCTTTTACACAGCTATGTGTACTGTGAATGTTCAGCAAATTAGTATATTAAAAAGCATTCCATTTATTTTGTATAATTTATAATGTTTAGATACTCCTTTGAATAAAGGTATTTTTGATTGAGAATATGTATATATAGTTTTAATTTTGTAATGTGTATCTTTATTTTATTTGCATGTTATTCTATTCAAAGTGCTGCTGTGACAAAATCATTTCTCAACTTGGGATAAATAATGTATCTATCTATATTCTAAGATTCTGTAATGCACAAAACGACCATAAGAGGTCGACATATACTCACTCTTTATTAGAACACCACCAGGGTTGAGTCTTATTTTCCTTCATTATTTTCATAATTGAATGCAAGTGTTAAATTAAATGAACACATTTGATTAGATTTCGAAGGGTTTAATCAAGTCTCTGAGTTGGTTTTCAAACTCCAAGGGAAATTATTGGATAAAATAATCAAACAACAGATTGACAGAGCCACCCAAACATACTGTTCCTACCACCACCCACTGAACATGTACTCCTACTCCCTTATGGTCTACAACCACCATGGCCCCTGGTAGACATAAAAACAAAGACTATAACACCTGTTGTGCAATACTACTTATTTGCAATATATATACAGACACCGCTTCATATTATTACTGGTGGCTGTCCCTCAGAATCTGAATCTGAATCCCTTTATTAGTCCCACAGAGGGGACATTTAAACTGTTACAGCAGAAAAGAGCCAAAGACAGCTTAAGGTTAGCTAAGATTAGTTAGACAAATCAACTTGTGTAATAATACATCTGAAAAATAACTTCCACCTTTAAATCTAATCTAATAATATCTAATCTAATCTGGCTAATATTTTACAACTTTACACATGCTACACATATATTTTTTCAAATAATTGTACTGGTACTGGATGTGTAGTTTGTAAAGGGTGTAATCTCTACTTTTATCTATAATATTATAAGGCATGATTTTTAATTAGCTGTCTCTTTACTTGCTGTAACAATGTAAATCTGTGGGACGAATAAAGTTATTCTGATTCTGATGTTAACCACACATAATTTCCAACATGCCCGCCCACGCCGACACTTTACCTGTGCGAGCTGCTCGAAGGCCAGCTCGAAGCCGCCCCTGTAGTTGGTGATTCCCTTGGCTGTGATGTCCTTCACGGCATCTTTCAGCACCCTCTTGTTGCGCACGTTGGCCTGCACCAGGTTCTCAAAGCACGATGCATACGCTGCCTTGTCATTGAACTGGAGGGAAGAGGGAAGGAGGGATGACGGGAAGTGGAGGGAAGGCACTTGCACATATTTCCTGTTAAATATGTGGCCTGTTTTCCCTTTCGTAACAAAGGCATGCGGTGTCCCTTAAACTTATCGGATTGAGGTTTTTTTTAAGAGAGAGATTAAATTGATTCCATTTTATTTCAAACAAAGTATGTAATTATCGACAGAATGTATTGACACACATGTTATAGAGTGAGCTGCTTCAATAACGCTTCTTGGCTTTGCAAAATGGTGTCATGTGTGAAATTAAATCAGTTTTAATCAAAACTCTGCACTGACCGAAGGGATCTAAAGGAGCAGAAGGAAGGATTGGCAGGAGAGCAGGTAGGGATGTGAAAACAGTGGCATAAGGAAGTAAAAATACATACATTTAGATTATTGAGGGATTACGCTGTAGAGACAAACATTAATGTGACCGGTTACAAATATATGTACACATCTCTACAAGTTAAGTGTCCGCAGTTTAATATTTGTGAATCGTTAATGTGGAGGAGCAGATGGAACCTTATAATGTCATGCACAAATACAAACACACTTGTACTTGTGGCATAGTGGGGATACGAGGTGACACACATTCTTGTATCAGAGCGTAGTGGGGACACACACGGCAAACACATGCACTCACAGCATCTATAGAGGACAGGGAAATGGCTCATTAATACCCAACATCTGTCTTGGCCTTGACTGCAGCTTTCAAATCATGATAATTTGCAAAACACACACACTAATACACACTTTCAAACAACTACCGACACACCAGATGCACAGATACTGTTTTTTTACAGTACTTCAGTTATTTCTAGCAACAGATATTGTAAACTATCTGCAGATGCTCATCATTTATCTCAAATACTTTTACCATATTACCTTTTACTTGGATTGCCCGGCTGGTTACATAGTAGCTTTCTGCTTGTCTAAGTCTATAGTGAATTATGGTACTTGTAAGAGATTCAACTGTGTATTCTCTGAGTACAATGAAATAAGGAGCTACAAGGAAAGACATTTTCGAGGTGACTTTTAGCTTCTGAAAGACAGCTAGCACTATAACATAGTTAAAGTTATACTTAGTGTTATTCGGGCAAAGTAGCCCAAATATTCTAGGTGCAGAAACAGAAAAGTTATTCACTTAAGCAAGATGGAATGTTCATTCTACTTGTAATGATTATAGCATAATTATATAAGATGACAATAAACCCATTAGCCAGCCTCTACAAGCTAAGGATAAACTTTCAAACAATTAGCTTGGCTTTTTCTCTTTATTCACTCATAATGACTGTTTCCAACATGTTAGCCTAAGTTACGGGACAAATACTGCCAAGACATTTCCTTTAAAAAGATGTACACCTACACACACCCACCCATATGGTGTGTTTGAACTTCATCTGCCTTATAGTACACATCTTAAAATATGCTAGATAAAGTGATGAATGTTCAGCAGGACAGCATACTGTCTGTAGGTGTGCTATTCATATCTGTGTTCTTATACTAAACGTCTCAAATTGTCAGGATAATTGTTCTCCGTTGTAACAGCATACATTTCGATGCATACACAAAGAGTTGTATGAAATTGTTTTAGCTTTCTCTGGTTTTTGTGTGTCACCTCAGCACAAAATCCTCATAGGGTCATTAAGATATATTGACCTACAGATAACCCTTTGAATTAATTACATTTGAATTCACTATACAAACAGTTAAAGGTTATCCTCAGGAAGGGATTAAGGCTGAAATCATTAATTAAGTTTACTATTTTATTATGAAGGGTTATAACAGATTTTACATTCAAAAAGCTTCAACATTATTGTGGAAGAACTGAGCTTGAGGCAATCAATAAACGTATTACATTGCTGCCTTATTTCATTAACTTGAAGCCCTTTCACTTAGCTAAATTGAATATTCCGAACACAAACATAAACCATTTATTAGAGGAAGTAAAGGAAATGTAATTCATTTTAGAAAGCCAACTGAAAAGTGCATTAATACTCACTCCCATTACGAACATGGGTTGCAAATAAGAATAGTGCCAGTTTATCCTAATAAGCATGTACACAGTATGCCAAAGATGCAAGCAACTCAAGTGAGATATTTCATATAAATGTATATCGTTTTTAAAAGTTGGCAAATTGGGCATTATTGGTGGAGTTGAGGATTGCAGACAGACAAACCACCTGTATGCTAGAGGTATATACAGTTTTTTTTTTATGAGAAACAAATATATTGATTTAGGAAATGTTGTTTTCTGATGTAACATTTTGTAAGAAAAGACGCTTTTATGTGTGGGACCTACCCTATGAGAAGAACACCACCATCTTTTCTGAACAGTAAATATAGAAAGCCAGCAACACGCTAGCTTAGCATAAAGACACAGATAAGAAAACAGCCAGCCTTGCTCTGTCCAGACAAAATCTGACTACCCTCAGCTCTGAAGGTCACTCATTTTTCACAAATACATTTTCCATCTTAAGCTAAGCTAAGCGGTTGCTAGCTGTAACTCTAATTAACTCTACACAAGAAAGCCATCAGGCAAGTTTCCCATAGTATTTGAAAACTTTAAAAACTTTCTATCAAAGAACATTTAGTGGTTAATTATTTTCAGTCTTGTTTCACCAGAAAATACATATTAATGTGTCCTTTAGATAGCTAACAACATTAGCCATCCTACACAAGCTATGACAGCGGCAGTTTGATGGCTGCCTAGTAACATAGACTTAATTCTAGCAAAAATGTAGTCTTGAAAATGATTTCTAGTGTGCCTTTAATATATTTCTACTACTATTCTTCTAATAGAAAGAAATAACCACTGGTACCACCGGTTATTTTTCTTCACACACCTACTATTGGGAGGAGGTATGAATCTGACTTATAAAGCCTGCAATAGAGCTTTAAATTATGATGGATGAATATTGCCTCAATCCCCTTGTCAGTAAATGCTTTGGTGCCTGAGATTTCTACAGGGGCCTTTTTCCATTTCATGCCACAGATTCAAATATGGGTCACAAATACAGCACACGTTCATTTATCAGACTTATCTTGTGGCATTTCAGGGTTTGCTCCAGCTGCGTCATATGTGCGCTCTATTAGGCACACATATATGGATTCGGCTCTGATGTTCTTGACTCATACATAGACACACATGCACACTAACACTCATCTACTATACATAAATAGGCTATATATACTGTACACAAAGATACTTTGAGTGACACAAATGAGCAAACACGCATGCATGCATCCCTGCCAAGCCATAATAACAATCCATCCATGTGCGGTACATTAAGTCACTCAAAAGGTCACTGCCATGTTTAAACCAATGACTCAAACCGCTGGAGTACAGCTACTCAAACAGCCAAGCCAAACATACGTCCACATTAACATTCAGCAACCTGGAATTTCAATACATATACAGAATCATAAGAACTTCATAGAAAGGACTATGAAAAAGAAAAATAGTTACTTAAAGAGATACAAAGGCAAGTATTTTTATAGCAAAATACTCACGTAGACAACGTTCACGTAGTCATCGTCAGAAAGGGTCTCCAGCATCTTGCTGACGGACGTTTTGATGAGTTTGAGGGTGAGACCAGATACACTGCCACTCCTGCAGTATGGAACAAAGATGATTTGTGTTTTATCCGAACGTTTTTTTACCATAGTATGTATAAAAACACTTTTCATCTGTGGTTCTCTCTATTCTTTTGTAAGCACAGCTAGATAAGAAAATGGATAGATGGATATATTAACATTAAGTCGATTTTTTTAAAGAAAGACTATTACCATCTGTTAATTTGCCTTTTGATATCTTGTGTACAAGACAACTGAACCTGATCTAAAACATGAATATTAAAAAAATAGCAATAAGTTGGCGAGATATCTTACTATGTGCCAAAAAGTTGAACAGACTGAACAACTGACATTGCCATCTGTAAAGCCTTCTGCACAAGTAGAGGAAAATAAACTATTCACGCGTTAAAGGCAGAGACCTCGTGACTACAAGTTTCTTCCATTAACAAGCAGGCTAGATATGGGAACATTTATTACATTAACCTGTTAAGCCCGGAGCCTGTTTTTCAGGTCTCAGGCTCGAAAATGACATTCCCAGAACAAATTACTATATCTTCACTTCTAAAAGGGGTAAATTAATAATCATTTTTCTCAAAGCAATGATAAACCTGTGAGTTGGATGTAGAAAAGTCAGAATCAATATAGAATGTTTTTTATTTTAAAGTAAATTCAGATTGAACATAGTAAATGATAGTGTCCATCCAAAAAAAAAACACATTACTTATAGTGAAAACCACCCTTGAATGATGGGATAGTAGACTAAAAGCTTTAGGAATCCAAACTATAACATATAATAAGTACCCTGTATCAAGATTGATGCAAAACAAGTGACATTTGACCTTTTTAGAGAGATTTAGCAAAAAAACAAACACTTCTGGGGTCATTTTGGTGGATTTGCCATATCTCTGGCCCCCCTCGGTCGATTTTGATGATTGACACCTCTTTTGAACGGTTAGAGCCAATAGAATCGAAGGGGAAGTTCTTAAATCCACATACACGTTACCATTGTGGAGTGAGAGTGATGCGCACGCAGCTTGCCCAAACCGAAAGCTATGTTACGCTCTGAAAACTGAAAACTACGCTTTTTGCCATAAATATGAAGATGGATTATCAGTAATCATTTCAAAGTGACACAGAGACATTTTATGCATTTAAATGCCATTGAACACAACTTTTGATTAGAAAACAGCAAAGGTAAGACTTATTTTCCGTTTTGGTCCCGTAAAGCTACGTTGTGTGTCGTCTGGGTTTGCCTTCTATGCCCTGAGTTTTTCAGTGATGATACTTATACCTTTAGAATCTGTGGAATATCAGCTTTAATCTGATATCTTGTTTGTGCAGATCTGATAAGTAATAAAGTATTTCTACCGTGAGGTCTTCGCTTAGTAATAATTCAGAGGCTTGGCGTTAGAGTTGTGTTTTGTTTAGCTAAAAATGGTTCATATCGTCAGTTAGCTGAGTCTCTTCCCGTTAAGTGGGTATGACACATTAATAGGTTGTTAAATGTTAAGAAGCCCTGAGACACAGTTTCGCGGGCGGGGGCTGCCGGGCTTAACAGGTTAACAAAAATTCTATCATAGGTAATCTGGGTTAATGACATGAGTTAAGTGCCATCGCCATTTATCGGCTAATGACGTGCACACAGATTGTGAATACTAGCATAAAATGTAAAATATCACTTCATTATTAAGAGAAGGCTCCTTTAATAATATTCTATATATTATTGCTAAACAAGATGGGGACCATGCACCAATGGATCTGTAAAATGCAACTTAATTTGTTCTTGCACGTAAAGGCATAGGGACAAAAACAGGAACGAGATGTTATTTTCACCAAAGAGTAACGGAGGCAGCTTTTAATATCCAATAAGCCTCATAAATCCCCTGGGTGACAACTTCCAGAGCTTTAATAAGAGCTGCAAATGTAGGCAACATTTCCTGAAACTGAAGCCCTGAAACTCTCATTTATAGAAACAAGCAACACATATTCAGAAAAATTAAGTGATATTGGTCGTGGTGAATAATTAAAAATATTAATTACTTATTGTATTTACTATTTTCAGAGCATCACATTGACTAAAATACAACATAGAATATTGAATTCCTTATCCTTAAAGGTGGGGTAGGTAAGTTTGAGAAACCGGCTCGAGATACACTTTTTGTTATATTCCATGGAATGCTCTTAACATCCCGATAGCAATGAATATCTTAAGTGCTTTGACAAAAGATCCATAAAAAAATGTCATCTGTGGAAGCCGTAGTACTGTAAAAAGCACGACCAATGATTTTAGCCGGCCCGGCTAAAATAACTGGATGGCCTACCTGCCTGTCAGCCTTCCATCTGTGCACAGACTTATCTCGTGCCCTCATTGGTCATGTGCGCGTTCATGTGTGTTGGAGGAGGGGCTCTGTAAGGAAGTGGCAGATTTTTTCCGGCTGTGTATTTTCAAATTCTAGCGCACTCGAGCTGGTTTCTCCAAAATGACCTACCCCACCTTTAAGTACACTTCTTTTTACACACAAATTGGTGGAATTGACTTAAAATATGAACTTTTTATGTTCATTGTTGGTAGGTTTGCGGTTCTATTTAACCTGAATTGGAAAGGGGTTTAAATGTTTGGCTTTGGTAAATATGGGAAATAAAACCCTTATTTCAGTTTTGAAATGGACTCTGGGAAATCTGAAAAAGGCAGTGGCGAGCCATCAGGGCCCTCTAGGCCCTCTGTGAGGGCCTAAGATATTAAAAAAAAAAATATTTAAAAACATTAAAAAAAAATATATTTTTTTAAAATATATATTTTTTTAATATTATTTTTGTTATATTTTTCATTAGTTTTACCGAAAAAAAACTTGATTTAATAAAATAACATTTCCAAATAAATAAATCCTTCGAATCTGCCTGTTCAGTCTCTGTTTGAATGTGGGTTACATGAAAGAAGCTCACCTGGCCCTCTCTGCGATTCACAGAGGGCCCGCTATAGTAACTGAACGAGAGAGTAATGTCAAATGACAGTACAATTGACCAATCATATCTTCCCTCTAAATGGGTGGGTTTTATTATCGCGGACTAGATGACAAGTTCCGCCCGCTGTGAAACTTTTCTTGTTTCCATAGCAACAACAACTTCCTGTCAACAGCGTGAACTCGCCTTCAAAATAAAAGCATGCCAAATTACACTTAAGACATACAACTGCAACGAAAGTAACAAACACAATGCAATATCATTTTCAATGTCAAAGAACACAAATTGGGTTCACAGGTGTTGTTTTGTGTGGTAGAGGGTCGCTGTCATTGATGCGTTTTGCACCCTGGGCCGTTGTTTTGATATTCCGCTGAAGTATACGCTGTGACGTAATAACTTTTTTTTTTTTTTTCGAAGGAAGGGGTGGGGGTCAGAGGGCCTAGGTATAAAGCTCACGGCTCGCCACTGGAAAAAGGTAATATTGTTTGTTTCTTAGAAATTATCTTAAGTTCTCTAAAACTGAACTGCTGTCGTTACAGATATGGATCCGGAATGCTCCCTAAACATCTTCTAACTCTAAACTTTTAATGTATGTAACTCATCAGTCATCACAGGAAGAACCAATTGGACTGTAAATGATGAAGTCGCCTGATACACTGACTGCTTTTTGTTTGTCATTTGAGTTCTGAGGCAGCCATGAGTACAGCGCAGTCTGAGAATGAGCATCAGAGCCTACCGGCACTAAATAAAAGAACAAATCTGACTGTAGATGAATCACTCACGCATCCACCAGGATCAGCATGTCCTTAGGTGACGCTGCCCCCTGAATATACCTGGTGAGTAATAAAACACACAGTAAAGGTCATGGATATTAAACACAAATGTAGGATACAGCGGTTATTTATTTTGTCAAAACTAAGGAACACAATCTTCAGCACATTAAAAAAGTGATGAGACAGTACATGTTGCACTCTCATCACTCTTTGAGCAGCTGAACAAATATCACTCTACATCATTTTGATGTAAAATCAATCATACCTTTGTACTCTTTAATGACATTTCTGTTCATATTTTTGAAAATAAACAAACAAACTGTTGTAATAACATGGTTAAAAGTGTATTGATGGCTTCCATCCAGATTTAAAAAAATGTTTAGGACACTAGTGAAGCGTTTGTTTTGGTAGCCTTTGACAATTACACAGGTAGATTGAATGCTATGTGTCAGCCCTTGACAAACAGTAGAGAAATGACGGACAATGATGTGATTAGAGACACAAAACAATAATGGACATCCCACAATACACTCACCACGGTCGCCTGCGCACATCGTAGAGGTCGATCTTATTGGCTGAAGTGCTCGAGTCTATCCAAGGGGATGCTGGGATATGACAGGAATAAAATTGGCCAAGGTAAGTATGTTTACTTTATATAAAACCTAGATTTCTGGTTAATGAATATGTTTGTTGGATTTCTTATATCTTAAAAGAATAATTTGAAATATGCCATTTGCTTTTTAGCGAAGAGGTAGATTTTTGTGTCCAATTAAAACCAGAAGGCTATTAGCTTAGCTTAATATGAATACTGTTGGCAGGGTGAAAAAGCTAGCCTTGGCCAACTGTTAACAAAAACAGCACTTGACAGCTCACTAATTAACACATATCTCTTTTCATACATGTGTACAACACTGAGATATAACATTGTTCACTTCTGGTTCACAGTTAATTATTGTAACTAATTATGATTCGGCAACCAAAGTCCAGGACTTCAACTTAAGCTAGCTAATTGCCTTCAGGGGCCATCTTGAAAATTTGAGCACAGATATAAGAGTGATCTAGCTAGTAAGCGTACGGGATAAAAAAAACGTCAAACTATTTATTTTAAGCAATCCTTATTGTAACCTAAAGAAGGCAATTCATAATTGAACTCTTCTGACATTTAATAATAATATAATATGTTTATTTAGTATAGCACCTTTCACAGAAATAAAAGTCACAAAGTGCTTCACAAGAAAGAACAGGAGGTTAAGAGGTGCACACTTTTAAAACCTAACATTATGAAAGATGGTCATGACCATATTGACCTATAGGCTTTTCAATAAGAGATTCATGAATTATTTGCCTCTCAGCCAAACGTCACAAGAAAGAATGGTGTGAAAATCAGCCAACAGCTACACATTGTTGTTTTTGCGTGCATCTTTCTGAAATACATGTATGCTGAAATTGAACTTTTAGGGGATTTTTATTTGTCCCCATCACTGACCACAGAAAGGTCAGCAGGCTATTGGATTAACCTCATTGGCTGCTTGTCTGCTCACCTGGGAAGTATCGAGCCAATCCGGTTGCAGAGCCAAACACCTGCCAGAGGAGTGAAGGATCTTCCTCTTTGTTTTTCCGGAATATGTCCTCCAAGGCCTCCGTCCAATTTAGCTCGTTTAAAATGATGGTAGCTGTAACACACACAGCGAACAAACACACAGTTTAAACGAGTCAAGTTTGTACAAAAGTAAAGGCATAGTATTCACACAAAATGTCAAGAATTTTCAAAAACATGTAATCTGAAAATTCAATGTTCAAAAAGGGAAACTATCCACACACACACACACACACACACACACACACACACACACACACACACACACACACACACACACACACACACACACACACACACACACACACACACACACACACACACACACACACACACACACACACACACACACACACACACACACACACACACACACACACACACACACACACACACACACACACACACACACACACACACACACACCAAATCTACAGTGGTGAAAAGTGTGCAATGAAGTGGAGAGGGAGGCAAAAACAGAATGATCCAATTTGATATTTCTGGAATAAGGCAAAATCATCTCCTGGGTCCTCTAGGGACAGACATACAGTAAACGATTTGTTTACCTGTTTGTCAGCAGGGGCTCTTACTGCCTTAATGCTCCAACAATCTAGTTTGATCCAAAAAGGCAGCGCTAGTGAGAGTGGGCTGCACGTCACATTGATGCGGTGCATGAGTCATACTTGTGTGAATGTGTGTGTGTGTGTGTGCGTGGATGCCCCATCTTTGTGTGTGTGCTTTTGCGAGATGAACTGCATTAAAGAAACAATTAAGAACAAAACCCCTCAGGGTGAGACAGGGGATTACTAGGAGGTAGTGAAGAGCCTGTACTCGTATCAAGGGGTGCATTCCAATTCACATTCTATCCTCCTAGTAAGCGGGAAGAACATTTTGTATGTCCAAATAGATTATATTAGATGTACATTATGCTATAAATACCAGGATGTCTTACTGCCTCTGGTGGCCTTTTGCAAAAAGAAAGACAGCTTAATATTCTGGCGTTTCTGACCCACAATCCCCTGCACAGCAGAGAATATGTCGACTGAGATGCCGAGAGAGCAGAAACAGATGCTCGTTGAACTTTTGTGCTACTGACTGCAACAAATGTATATGAGCAATTGGGTCAAAGTTCATGACCTAGTGTGTTTCATTTGTATGCATTCCGCATGCAACAGTATGAACTTCATAAAGGGCAACTACAGTACATACAAAAAGTAAAAAGAGTTTTAAAGAAAAGTTGTATTTCATTTGGAACAGAGCCTCTGTAACAAAAATCATATTGCCAATTTACGAGGGAAGAGGCGTTGTGTATAGTTAGTACTAGTCTCTTTAGGGAAAAATTGCCACCAAGAAAAACTCAGTGTACTCTTTAACGAAGTAGAAAAGCAATGCCCTGCCAAGTATAGACATTTTTTTTTGTCCTCTCAACCTCCCACATCTCCCACATCTCTGTGGCTCTCCCAAACTCATTGCTGTAGAATCGCTTGTAAGAAAGAAAGCACTGAAGCACCTTTCCTTAGCATTTAATCCAGCTCTTATCATGGCTGCCACTTAAATGTTTCCACGTCATTTCACTCAGTTAGGAACCTTCCTAAACAAAAGACTATTCAACATCCTTTATGCCTGTAAGGGTTAAAAAAAAATAAATAAAAAAAAATAATCCTGCTGCTTCATCATCTGTTTGCATTTGGGTCCAATCCCTGTCCTTCATAACCCAATTGCAGCGCCTCCTTTATCAAGTTTCTATTGTTGAATACAAATAGATTTTAGACAGGGCTTTGAATTGATCCCTTTGGTATTGTAGAGCAAAACATCCCCATGATATGTGGTGACAATGTGTTCAGGCCTGATCTCTGTGCTCCCCGAGGATAGTCGTTCATACTGAATGGTAAACTAACAAGGAAAGCTCACATTCAGTATTTCAGTTGCCCATCAGCTGCAAAGTCAATGTAGTGACCAACCCATCAGGGGAATTGTGTCCGAGTTTTCCTGACTGTGTCGATTGGTTCTGTTCCCCTGTGTGACACTGACAAACCCATTACAATCCCATAGGGATTTGAATGCAGACCCACATAACACACACCCTGGATCGATGTGCAGGTCAGACACCACTGACGAGCAACAATATCGAAAGTGTGGCAAGGTGTCCTCCATTTTCAGCTAAATACTGAAACAAATCACTGTTGTAGTGTTAACAGATCCATCTCTGTGGCAATGTGTGTTTCTCGAGGTCACACACACAGTCAGCCGTATGTCATGAGGGGCATGGCCTGAGGGACATTGGGGGGTAGGGCTAATGTGTTTGTGACTGCAACAAATATGGATATTACCAATACCTAAACTTATTTCTTTGTTTGTGTTGATGGTAACAAGCTAAAAGAAGAATGTCCATGTTTTTATGAATCTTCTACAAATTAGTTTTGTGCAATGAGATTCTGTTTTCACTCTTGAGAAATGACAAAATAATGAGTGATCAGAGGAAAAACTGAAGAAAATTAGTAAAAAGAGAGAAAGAATCCAAGGACAGTGCTTTCCATTTACATTTTGTCAGCTGGCACTGAGCATTTGGTGCAGCGCAATTATGTGACATAACAGTGACATGTGGGGAACAACATGTATAGAATACTTTAAATGGCCAGGTCACACTACAAGGTGGCTCAGCAAAATTCTTATGCTCATCCTGCCTAAAGGGTTCTAACTTTGTTGACGTAGGGACTCTTTTCTAGGGTTGATCAATACTAGAGCTACCAAGCTAACAGCTAACATACTAGCGAGCGGAGACTAGGCTAGTCAGTCACGATAAATCTAAAAGCTTATTTTTAATTTAACTTCACTATGACGTTTTTATCTCAGTATTATACATAGATTGACTCAATATAGACTTTTTTTGAATTGACACAAATGTATGTTATAAGAGTTGAAATAAAGGAAAACAGCTAGCAAGCTTGTTAGCTAATGGTTCAATAAGTTTCCACAGTTTATGCAAAAGCATTTATAGCTTTTAGGAATGGATAGTATAGTACAGGTACTATAGGTAGCTTACTATACTACTACTTTATAGATAGCTTACTACTGTATACTACTACCATGTTTGTGCATGGTGCCAAACAGCTAATAGGTTCCAGGTTCCTGGTATACATTGGGTTGTGAGACTTTTATTAAGATGTTAATTCAGGTTTCAGTAATGAGCTTTTTAGGTCTGCAAATGCGACCCATTGTACGTTTTTGTATGTTTTAACACTGTGGTCACAAATCCCAAAATGCGGATTGACAAATTATTGTCTTGGTAATAAATTCTGCCAAGATGTCCAGCCATGCCAGCATCAATAAATCACACCATTCAGATCCCATGGTTAACACATGAGAAATTAAAACAAATGAATAATTTATGGGGGAAAAGATGTGTGAACTGAATATGGAAATAAAGTAACTAAATATTCTCTGTGAGGCATGTAGATGCTTTAAAAAACCGAAATCAACCAGTATCTGGCAGTGAGTGGTGAGGGGGCGGCAGTGGGAGGGGGTGAGGAGAGAAAGCTGCGTGGTGCCAGGCGATGCCCTGCGGAGCTCCCTGTCATCGGTGGCTGAAACCGCCTGTGCTTTTGAAAGTAATTACAGGGTGGGGGCTGCTGAGGTGATAACCTGTAATCATCGTATCAGAAGGGGTCTTGTACTCGATGATACTTTGCCACTCACTACTGATCGTGACATGAGCACCAACGCAGAATGAAAAAGATACACTTCCACATAATGTATCTTTCCACCAACACATGCATTTTCTATGCAGTCAGAAAGAAGTATGTGCAATACATGAGTGGCTAAAGACACAATGCAGACTTATGGATTAGGTAATTATAAGTGTGCGTGCCAATATATAGTGATTAGGACTGAAACCATAAGTGGATGAATGGATGGGTATATTGGTATGATTAATCGTTTATCGTCATTTTACAAGCAGGAATAGAAAAACTATTCAAATGTTGTCTGATACCACCCTCTCAAATTTGTCATAATTCTTTGGTCGAACAAAATAAGATATTGTATTCTAAGACATCACGTTTGGGATATTATGATGTTTATTAGACTTAAAGATTATAAGTTAATTAAAAAAATCCTGAGCAAAATAATTGATAACAAAAAAAAAAAACGACAGTTGCGGCCCGAATGGGGTTTGAGACCAAGAAATTAGGTGATTAATTAAGAGAAATTATGAGTTGCTTCGGGTGATAAGGCTTGAGTGTAGTTATTATGTACAGTAGTGTGAAAACACAGCGGCAATGGCCAGAGGGAAGGGACACCAGCACACACACACACACTATTTATTTAGCATGAGAAAGGTGTCGAGGTCATAAGGTGAGAAACGCTGCTTGAGATGAAAAGCAATTAGTCCTAGTCAAGCCTTTTTATGGTTGCAAAGGGCTCACTTGTTAATATTGGTTACCATTATGCCATATGAATCCAAGAACAGTACAGTATGTGGCATTGCAGAAATCTCGTTCACTGTCTAAAAAGTTGTATTTAAAGGTAAAATAGGGTAAGCTTAAACAAAACATTCTCTTGGAACATTATGGTATGGAGGGGAATCCCAATCAGCTGATTACAGCATCCTGGGAAGGCATCCAACTTGTCGCAGTGACACAGTTCACAGACACAAAGACAGTAATAGGTTGAAAGAAGAGAGAAATAAGGACGAAGAGAGAGAGAGAGAGATGAAGATACATCAGAGTTTGGCAGCAAGCACCATAGATAAAAAAAAGGATGTGTATCAAGTGGCACAACAAAAAAAATCAATTTCTACACTGTGAGCTTTGCCACGGGGTCTGTGACTTCGATACACACACGCTCACACACACAGTGTCAGAGTATCTCAGCCCGTCAGTGTGTGTGTGTGTCTCGGGCTGACAGGTGCCACACAGCGTTGATGCAAACGGGCATCAGACGAGCCTCGGCTCTCATGCCCAGGCCGCGACGCTCTCCTCTCATCTCGTCCACGCCAATCTGCCTAATGAGCGAGAACACACAGCCATGAAAACCACACACAGTACAGTGGGTGAATGTGATGTGACACACACACAT